GAACTGATAAATCAGGATTCAGATAGTGATTCAGATGATGGTAAGTTCCTTTGGAAACAGGGACTTGTGTAATAAACAAATGTAGGTAGAATTGTGATTTTCCATGCAGGAGAAACAAAGATGGGACTTGAGGTCTCAGATACCTCTGGTGACATCAAAGGCTGTCTCTGAGCACACAGAGAGTATGAGACTGACGGCATCAACAGACAGTGCTACTTCACCTGTGGTTTATTTTAATTTCTTTGCAAATGACAAGGACTCCTATGGGTCCCTCTGAACCTTTGCTCAAACAGAGGTTTGCAGTTAACTTGGCCCTAACTCAATCCAGATAATTCTCCAGGCTTAGGGGTGTGTCTGAGCTTGGAATTGCTCTTGGCACTCGGTATTTTCAGGGGAGAAGCAGGTACCACCAGAAAAGAATTTTAGTCCAAGATGGGTTGGGCTGTCTCTGAAGGTTCACATTTCTCTTCAGCAGTGATAAAAACAGCCCAGGGTGAATTGAGATGCCTGTGGTTAAATGGTATGAAACAGGCCCTTATTCAGTTCTTGGAATTTATTTCTAATCATATGCATTACATATATAAGACTGTTTAAACATCTCTGAAACGATGAAAGACCAAATTCTACAACAGACCATTTTTGATCAGTTTTTGGTACAGACTTATTATCCTCAGAGAAAAATATTTTAATGATGAATCATTCAGAAGTTTTTGAAGAGAATTTGCTCAAGAGTGAAAAGAGGAGGTTTGATTTTGACGAAACACCCACCAAATGTTTAGTTTGCTGAGGATTTGTAATTCTCGCTGACTCCTGGTCACAGAACACCAGTTCTGCAGACTGGCACCGTGGCTATGGCGCTGTCGCCCTCTCCGTGTGCATCCAGGTGTGCAGGGAGCCGCTGCCACCCCTGCCAGTTGTTAGCGCGGCGTCAGGGAACCGGGAGATGCACGGCCTGGCCCTGCGGGGATAATGCTGACAGCTCGGGTAGCAGCTGATTTTGGTGTCTTATTGCTGCCTTATTTTGCAGAATGTAACACCCTGAATGGATTAGTGTCTGAGGTTTTTATCCGATTCTTTGTGGAGACAGTTGGCCATTATTCCCTGTTCCTAACCCAGAATGAAAAAGGAGAGCGTGTCTTCCAAAGGGAGGCTTTCCGTAAATCTGTGGCCTCCAAGAGTATCCGCCGCTTCTTGGAAGTTTTCATGGAATCCCAAATGTTCGCCGGTTTCATCCAGGACAGGGAGCTGAGGAAATGCAGGGCTAAAGGTACGGGTGGGTGTGTGCCCTGCGCTGCGGGTCGCGCTGTTCCGCTGGGGTCCCGCGGATGGCGGCAGCGCCCCTCCATCCCCCGTGCTCGCCGGGAAGGCGGAAACCATCCCTGACATCCTGCCCGGTGAACCGGAAGGTGGCTGCGAGCGGAGGCTGCCGGGGCGGGAGCCGGGCCCTGCGGGGATCAGCCGCACACGGCTCACCCATCCCTGTCTCCCTCTGCCGCAGGGCTCTTCGAGCAGAGGGTGGAACAGTATTTGGAGGAGCTCCCGGACACGGAACAAAGCGGAGTAAACAAGTTCCTGCGAGGCCTCGGTGAGAGAAAAGCTTTAGAAGTGTTTCTGAAATGAATTTTCAGTGTGATGGTGGGTTTTGGTTGTGGTGTTTTTTTTTTTGTTTTTAATTTGAAAAAGCCGTACCCGAGGTGAAGTGAGGTAGTCAAGTGGTTTCAGCGTAATAGGAATTACAAAAAAGAAAGCAATGAAAACATAGTTAAAGGTATAAAACCAGATTTAATGACGGTCCTTGTTAACACTTTCATTTTCACTTGGGGATGGGGGAACCAAACTGTGAAAAACGCTAATCACTTGTTTTTAAATTTTTTAAAAGTTTAATAGTAATAAAATGGTTAGGACAATATGAGACAACAGAGACAAAGAGTTACGGACGTCCGGGTACCTTTTTCTGGGTATCATCAGCCCGAAAAAGGACCCCCGTTAACAGAGGATCAACCCTTAAAAGCAACAGCCTGTTGCATAGTCACACTTCACACATGATGCATAAATCCCATTCAAACACAGGATTCTGTCTGGTCATCTTCAACTTCTTCCTCTGAATCCTAACAGCGCCTTCGAGGTGGGAAGAAGTTCGTTTCTTCTAATAAGAGGGCAAAACATTCTTTTTCTCTGAAAGATTTAGGTGTCCTGTGGCTGCTATCTCGCTGCAAGTCCTTTCTTTTAAACAAAGCATCTTACATAGCATATTTTCTATTTTAACAATTTCTATAACCTAAAACTATATTTAACAAAGTACTTAAGAGAATTAATACAGCATTGCTTTCTAACACAACACATATAATATTAATTTTAATATTTGCAAAAAGCCAATCATAAAATACATGCATTTTTCACACAAACCATGACCGAGAAGTGGAACAGGAAGGGGTTGGGGCAGTCGGTGTTCTGTAACTCAGCTCTCCCTGCTGGAGCTGATTACAAGTTACACCCATTTGCTGTCACTTGGATTGACTTTGCTGTCTGCTGGAGACTGACGGTGTGCTTCCTTTAGGTAACAAAATGAAGTTCCTTCACAAGAAGAACTAGCTCCTTCCTGCTGAAACACCAACCCAAAACCTATTTATGGCACCGTGTGAGACACCTGCAGCGCTGGAATGCGGAGCGGGAGGAGAGCGGAGCAAGCTGAGGCAGCTCCAGGAGAAGATCCATGGATGCTGTGTCAGGGTGCCACGTGGTGGCTCCTCCGTGGTTTTGGGCAGAGTTTGTACATAATGTGCTGTAAGCTTTTGTAACTGATTTTGTAATGAGCGAGAAAACTGTGGTAAATATTTGTATATTCCTGAGAATACCAGGTGCTTGTTTTTTTTTCTTTAGTATGAGTTGAGCTATGCTTGGTGCAAAAACGAGTAGCTGATTTATGTGCAGCTGACTGTCTCAGCAGAACCACTGACTCCAAGGGGTGTTTGATGCCTGAACACTGCGGGGTGAATGAGCTCGGGTACGTGGGAGAGGTTGTACGCACGGGGCTGCTCTTGTGCGGCACAGGCGCTTGGCTGTCTGTCTGTCTGTTGCCTTCAAACTGATTTTAAAGGAGAAATAACAAAGTAACTTGGTAATAAGGTACTTGGTTCACATTGCAGAACCTCCACTTGGTTTGAACTCTGGTCAGTAAACTCCTTATAAGCCACTGTGCACTAAGATGCTAAGCCTGGGGAGATCCCAGCTCTCTGACATGCAAGCTGCAGTGAGTAGGTACAGTACAGCCTTTCCTAGTGTATGTATGTATGGATCCTAATAAACTCTGTAAATAGACCTGTTTGTTTATATTCATTGCAAACCTCTGCACTTCCTCATGTGGAGCAGGTACAAACACAGCAACTCACCTGTGATTTCTAAATGAATTTGTAATTAAAATGTAAAGTGGATATTACAAACCTCTCTTTCAGTAGGTTTGCTGTTTTTGTTTTCACTTTGGGGTTTCTTCAGTGTTTTTCACCAGGGCTAAGACAAGGCATTTTATACCCCTTTTTACAAAATTTTATCCTAGCAGAAGCATCTCTTAAAAATTTTTTTCATGGGTTAGAAGAGAATGGTTTTATCGTTGTATCACACATACTGCTCCTGACCTATGGAATTTTCAGTCGGCTTTGTGCTGTGCGTGGTGGTCAAGTGTCACATTCTTCCTTGATCTAGAAACTGAGCTCCTGTTAAGGTTCTGTAAGTTTTCCCATAGTCTGAAGAAGAAAATATTAAAAAAATATAAAATGCTTCAGATAATGAAAATTAGCTGAAGCCTTTTACCTTCAAAGGAAACCCCCACGCTCTGGTTTTCGTCATTCTCAGCATGACTGCTGTAGTTAGATGGGCTTTGAGGCTTGCGCAGTTCCTAACCTGACAGTGGTTCTGGTTTGCTATCAGCCTCATAGAGAAAACTCGAGGGGCTGTTCACTGAAAAGGTGAAGTCGTTTCCTTTTTCAGTTACCTCCCTCACACTCCAAAATCCACAAAAGCATCTTAAGTGTATGTCAAATGTCAGTGAAATACCAGGTGCTTTTGCTACAGAGAAAATGTCACCACAACTGGTAACTTCCATTAGTTTCACTCTGTGATATGCTCCAAGTTCCAGAATGATTGCTGGATGTAATTCTTGAGAGTGGAAGGAGTGACATCACTTGTACAGGTGGCTTCTGGCCTTCTTATAAACAGCTGCTAGTAAATGTAGGGGGAAGTACATAATTCCTCTGCAGAAAATGATGGATAAAACTGTATCAGGACATGCTGTGGAGTTACTGCAAAGGCAAGACAAAGCCAATGTACAAGAATGTTGTGCTGTAAAACCCATCTCCTGTGCCAAAGCTGTTTTGCTCCATTTGCACTTTAAAAATTAAAGGAGAAAGCTTTTAAACATTGTGTCATCTGTCAACGTGTTCCCATTCTTGTAATGTGAATCAGAGGATACAACTGGGCAAGGTGAGATTATAGCCCAAAAAATCTATGGGTGCCATTTTGATCCTCAGACTAGAGCTGTGTAAAACCATCCTTGTGCTATGTGGAGGTCTGTGCTTGAAGGGATCAGACGAACAAAAACCAAGGAGTGCATTATTTTCCCTACTAAATTAGTTGTTAAAACTAATGGTGTTCCTCAGCATGGAACATTTTAAGTGCACCAGAAAAATTCTGAAGAAAAATAAATCCAGTGAGAGGCCTGTGTTTAAAATCCATTAAAAAAACCCCTAGAATAAAATCCCTTGAAAAAACCCCTAGAAACCAAGCTTAAGAAACAGTGACACTCCAGGAATTCACACTCCAGTGTGGCAAGTAATTGTGTTTAAGGACGTAGTGTTCATTTTCCCACTATTATGGATGTTTAATAAAGTGACCAAATTTCAAAAATTGCTAAATTCTGTTTAAAGCTCCGCTTCCCGCGCTGGGAGCAGACTGGGAGCGGCGCCGGCTGTGGGCGGGGCCCGGCCCCTCACGGCCCCCCCCGCCGCTCCCGCCTCAGCGAAGCCTCGCGAGATCTCGCCCCGCCCCGCTCGCCTTTGCCTGCTCTCGCGAGAACCTCGCCCTTTCTCTCCCTCGCGCACGCCGGCAAGATGGTGGGAGCTGCGTCCGGGCCGGGATGGGCTGGGACGGGATCGGGATCGGACCGGGACCCCGCGGCCGCCGCCCCTCGCTCCCGCGGCGGGACGGGACTGCCGAGTAGCGGAGGGTGGTGGGGAGGCGCGGCTCCGAGCCTGCAGCGGGCGGGAGCGGTGCGGGGAGGCCGGTCCGCCATGGCGGCCGGCTGCGCGGTTCCCGGGCGGGCGCGGGGTTCTGGTGGCGCTCGCTGCCCGCCTCACTCACGGCCGCTCTCCCCCTTCCCCGCAGCCTTCCCGCCTCAGGAAGACGCGGAAGCTGAGAGGACACGTCAGCCACGGCCACGGCCGCGTGGGTGAGTGCAGAGGCGGCCAGGGGGGCGCCGGGGCCTCCGCGGCGCTGAGGGAATGCTGCTGCTGCTGCTGCTGCCCTTCCCGCATCCATAAAAATGCAGCTGTGCGTACAGCGCACTGGGGAAATATCGAACGGTGCCGAAGGCCGCAGCGTGCCGCGGTGATGGGCTGATCATGTCCTGCATGATTTAGACTCCCTGGGTTATAACTCCAGCGCTGCTCAGCCCATCAGTACTGGCTATGCGACATCTTCAACTTGCAGGGCAGTGCAGTCTCCCTTACAACTCTATCCATTCCAACCGTGTCGCACCACATGATAAAACAATTAGTTTAAGTTGAGTATTGTGTGTAATATTAATGTAACAAGCTTAATGTTTCTTCTCAGGCAAACACAGGAAGCATCCTGGAGGTCGTGGTAATGCTGGTGGTTTGCACCATCACAGGATTAACTTTGATAAATAGTAAGCTAACGTTTTAAATGTCTACTGGCAACATGCGTGCTCATGAAGTAGAAGCAACTGAGTTTTATATGTGAATAAGCAAAGTTTTCTGCAATCCTGTGTGTTTTTTCCTTTAATGGGAAGTGTGGGATTACAGCTGCTCATGTCCCCACTTACCCTAAAATCAAAAACCTTTTCACTTGGCATGTTGGGGAGTTCATTGTAGCATTAGGTAAAGCTGACCAAATTTGCCTGTTAGAGTGTGGTCCCTGCTTAGCAGTGCACTCAGAGCAAATTCAGAACGTGAATTTGGTGTTATATCCTGTTGGCTGTACCAGGTAGAGGGGAGGGATGTTGTGATTCCCGAGGCTATAGAGTCACACTTTGGCCCTGCCTGTGGCCCTGGTGTGCTGGAGTGCTCGGACAGGAACCACTGATCTCTATTCACTGGCTGTGCCCTGCCTGGCTCAGTCAGTCACCGGGTCAGTGACAGCAGTGCCACAGCTTCCCAGGCACGACAGCCCTCCCTGGGTCCCTGGAAATGCAGCCTTGGCTGGGAGGGGGATTGAGGTATGAGTTGTAGGGGAGAAGGGACACTTAGAGAGAGTGTAATTGTTCCTTGGTTTGGATACTAATCATTATTGCACCTAAATTCTACACATATTAACATGAAAAAAGGTGTAATGTGACATTGTGGATGCTGTGATGTTGTAAGATGCTTGTTTCAGTGTTAGTTTAGAGTTGTGCTTGTTCAGGATGAGTTAGAAGTGGGATCTAATGTGGAATGTGTTTGTGCCACAGCCACCCTGGTTACTTTGGGAAGGTGGGCATGAGGCACTACCACCTGAAGAGGAACCAGAAGTTCTGTCCCACGGTGAACCTGGACAAGCTGTGGACGCTGGTCAGCGAGCAGACCAGGCTCAACTACGCCAAGAACGAGGCGGGCCTGGCCCCGGTCATCGACGTCGTGCGCTCGGTGGGTGCTGCTGGGCTGGGCCCTGCACTGCTGCCCTCCCTGGGAGCCTGGCACTGCTGGGGCTGAGCCCTGCTCTGCTGCCCTCCCTGGGAGCCTGGCACTGCTGGGGCCGAGCCTGGCACTGCTGGGGCTGAGCCCTGGGCTGGGCTGTCCTGCTGGGGAGGTGCTGAACTGCACATCAGCTGCAGTGCTTTGTGCTCAGAGGCTCACCACATGGATCCCTGGGCTCTGAGTACTTACAGGAGCACTTTGGGTGTTGCATTTTTCCCTGTAAGAACCTCTTGTCCTGCTGGTGTGAGTGTGTGGGCAGGCACTGCCCTCCCTTGGGGAGGTGGTGAAGGATGGCTGGTTGGGAATGTTCCTGAGGGAACAAAGCCATGGTGGAGCTGGTCTCCCACTTTGTCACCCTCGAGACTAGAGTCACATCTCCACATGTCTGGTTGTCTTGGTGTGCTATAGTTCTCGGACAGGAACACCTGATCCATATTCACTGGCTCTGATGTCCTGTGTCTCAGCCAGCCACCGAATCAGGGACACTGCTTTGCCTCTGCTGGCCACTTAGGGCCACTTCCCACCTCCTGTGACTCCAGCAGCTGTTCTGTTCATTGTCTTCATTCATGATTGTCCTTTTAAAGTAATGAATTGACTGGATAAGGTCATGGTGATCATGGTTCTGTTTTAACCGGTGTGTGCTAACAGGCCTGCATGTAGGAGCCTGTGAGCTCATTACAAACACTGAACTTCTTTTTTAAATCTTTCTAGGGCTACTACAAAGTGCTGGGCAAGGGAAAGCTGCCCAAGCAGCCTGTCATTGTGAAAGCCAAGTTCTTCAGCAGAAGAGCAGAGGAGAAGATCAAAGAAGTTGGTGGTGCCTGTGTGCTTGTGGCATAAAAGTTTTTGTTTTATTCAAATTTTTTGAATAAACAATGCATAAAATGAGCTGGTTTACAGAAGTTTGGGTTGTTCTGATTTTTCTTTCCTGACCTCTCCAGACACAGTTCACACTTAATCTTACCTGCATAACACTTGATCAGTGGTTTGACTGCTTCTCACTTAATGTTGAAATTGCCTGACTACAGTTTTCAGTACCTGCCATGTGCAGATGTCTCATTGTTTTGTGGGTGGCAAAATTAAGTTCTGAATTTGTGCTGCTCTTTTGTTAGTGATCCTTTCTACAGCTGTCTGAAAAGAGGACTTGATGTGATTTTGATGGGGATTCTTGAAAATTGAAGCGACATTTGGGGGAAATTTGTGGGGATGGTGCCCTGGCCTGTGGGAATGGAACAGCAGGAGTGTGGACGAGGAAATGCCAAGTGACAGCAGTGCAGCAGTAACTGTAAATTGACATTTGCAATCCCTGCCCTCCCCAGGCTGAGTGTGCATTTCCTGCTGTTCCCAGCTGTGGGACAGTTGGTGCCAGCTATCCTCAGCCTTCCTTACAGCTGGCAAAGCAGTGGCACAGCTCTGGAACTGCTCTGTGTGCAGTGCTAATATATTGGTTTAAAATGGTTACCTGAAATAATCCTTGCTTGGCTGTAACATCAAAGCAGGACTTGTGGTGTCTGCAAGGCTTGGCCCTGTGTGCCAAAGCAGGATTTAATGGAAGAAATAACTAATAACTAAATAACAACTGCCAGTGAGCTGGTTCTCAAGTGTCAGATCAAGAGCCTGTAGATACTGTCACTTATTTCAAGCTTGCTGCTGAAGTTGATGCACATGACCTTCGAGTATGTGTGATAGAATCCTGGTTAATCAACTTCTAACCTAGTGTTTGGCAGCAATTAAATTTAGAGGGCTTTTAGGGTGAGGTTGATGTGCATTCCACTTATAAAATAGTTTATCTTAGCCAGTGGTCCTGCTGCTTGTGAATATCTGGCATAAGTGGGCAGTTTGTTCCAGGATACAGAGGAGTTTGGGAGCTGTGTCTCAGCGGCTGCTGGGACTGCTGTTTCCTAATTTGTGATGCTGATGTAGCTCCATCCCCCACTCTGGCCCCAGCCATCCAGCCAGCTCTTTATCCAGTGCCCAGTGACCCCTCCAGGCCGTGGGCAGCCAGTTTCTCCAGGAGAATCTGTGGGAAGTGGTGTCCAAGGCTTTCCTGCAGACAGACAGACAGACAGACAGACCAACAGCTACAGCCTTTCCCTCTCACTGAAGGGGTCACCTTGTCAGGAGAAGAGATTGGGTGGGTTAGGCAGAACCCCCCTTCCATGAGCCCACACTGACTGGGTCTGATGCCCTGGCTGTTGCACAAGTGTCAATTGATGGTGCTTGAGCTGATCTGCATCACGACCTTCCCTAGCACCAAGGTCAAGCCTGTGATTCCCTGGATTCTCTTTCTGGGCTTTGTAGCTCATTGCATTCATCAGCCCTCTCCTCCAGCTGCCTGACTACTGCTGTGCATACCTGCCTCAGAACTAAATTTTAAACACATTTTTTTCACTCTTACTCTTCCCCTTCCTACCAAAAAGCTTCTGCTCAGTTTTGCATGTTGTTCAAAAGGCCTAAATTGAAATTTACAGTAGCCTGCTTCTGCTCATCCTGCCCCAGCTTTGGCTTGTAAGGTGACAGAGCATTTCCCAGTATTTGGCTTTGTTTGCACTGGTTCTCTGTGCATGGATGCCTTGGGCTGTGGTTTCTCTGTCAACATTGTGGTAGTTTCAGACCTCAACTTCCTACTGCATGACATGTTTTTGTAGGTGCAGCTTTGTCTTAGCAACAGGAGCTGCAAGAAATGACAGAGATGAAATGGGGTGAGAGGCTGTGCTGCTTCGGTGACACTTGTCCCTGATAGATGGTTGATAAAGATGCTCTGTAAAAAGTGAGCTTGTGTAATAGGCACTGATAAAATGTAAGTTAAACCACAGGTACAGCTGGCACAGCTCATCTCCAAAGGGCCCTCTGATTTTTGGAATTGGAATCTGAAGTTTTAGTGGTAGGTTTGAATTTATTTAAAGAATTTGTCAGTCAAGTTGGTGGGTATCTACCTAGTTGAATGGGTCTTGGGTATGAAATAGGATGCAGACTTTAACATAGGGTCCATTTTTCTTCTAAAATATTTTAAATACTGAAGACTTCATGATACAATGCTTAAAAAAACTACTGGTTGTTAATTTCTGAGACAGTCATAATTTTTTTGCATTTCAGAATAAAAACCCAAATTCAGATCTGCTTACTAACCATTTCCACTGGAGTCTACCAGAAGACAGAATCCCTCAGGAGAAGAGAGAGCCTTAAGATTAGAGCTGCTGCTCTTCTGTGCTAGGGAAATCTGCAGGTTGAAGCTCACTCCTGTAGCTTCAGTTCCATCCTGCTGGTACCAGGGCCACCATGCCAGGGCCATCAGCAGCTCCATGGGACTCTGGTGCCAGGGGGCTGGATCAGCTGGAAGGGTGCCTCCAGAGGAAATGAGGCTTCATCTGCTTTCTGTCCTCTGATACAACTTGCAGGATCTGCTCTTTGCAGTCTGTATCTGATCAACATCTCTGACAATCTCAGAGCTGAGGATGAAACATGAACTGCAAAACTCTCAGTTGACCCTGGGGAGCTTAGGCTGCTGGGAGGAGCACTGGGAAGCTCAGGTTTGGTCTATAATCTGATCTGTGGTTGTCCTAATAGCTAAAATTTGATAACTGCAAAGTGCTTTTTCTATAAAGAAGATTGTCAGAAGATGCTGTACATTTTTCAAAGCAGCTTTCTAAGATGCATTGCTGAAATGATGGACTTGTGGGTACTATTTTCTTTACATAAAAACTGTAAAATATTTGAGTGAAATTGTAAAAGCAGCCAGAGAATCTCATAATTTTAATTGCAGTTTCAGTGCTTCTAGCAGGAAGTGTACAGCGTGTGACAATTCAGCTTTGTAAGGAGATCAATAGAACAGATTAGTTCAGTTTCTACAGAAGTTGCAAATACTAGAGAGATAGTGGGATCATGGTTTGTAAGCCTTAAACCACTCTTTCCTGCACAACAATCTGCAAAGATATTCTCCTCTGTAAAGCAGGTATGTGATTTTCAGCTGCAAGGAGCTTTTTTTTCCACAGGGCCACATGAATGTTTATTTGATCGTGCATCCCGTGTTGCCCTCTGGTTTGCACTTGAGAGATCGAGTGTTTTGTGAGGTGCAGGGCTTGCCATGAGCCATTTTGTGACTCTCCGTGTTTTCAGGGCCACACTGGAGCCAGCAGGGATGGAGGCCCTGGATTTGTTGTGGAATTGTTTGGTGTGCAAATGGGAGCTGCGGAGGAGGGAGCCCAGGATGCTGCCCTGCCTGCACTCCTTCTGCAAGGAATGCCTGCCAGGCTTGATCCAAGGGTACAGCTGTGTTCCCACGGAGTATGAAGTTCTCTATGAAGGTAATGCTTAAAAACCTCTGGCTTGTGCTCTTTGCAATGCAGTGTTATAAAAAGAGATGCGCAGAGAAGCACTTTTTGAAGCCTATTCTTCTATAGCACTACTTTAAATTGATAAACTAAGAGAGTAAATATTTATGTGAGCAGAAAGTGTATTGGGAACAAGCCACCTTTGTAATGTTTTTCATCCAACATTGGCAGCATTTTAACGTTTTTTTCAGAATGGGCTGAATGTTTCACTTACCAAGCTGACATTATGAGTATTTGATTTTCTTAGCTTAATAAATAAATAAATGCTACAAGATAGCTTCCAGAGCAAATTTTTTTGCAAACATTTTGACATGCTGGACCTTTCTGTGGTTCTGGTTGTGGTGACAGTTTTTCTCTTCCTTCACCCCGTCCTTCAGTGCCTTCTCACTAACAACACAAAACCACCCAGTTCTTTTGTTTCTGAGAGGTAATAATAATTGTTATTACATATGTGTATTCTGGTGCACTGAAACTCTTGTTGTGAGTGTTGTTTACCTTAACCCTTGTGGCTGTAACTCACCCTAACAAGCTGAGTAAACTAGTGAGGACAAGAAGCATTTTTTGGCTGTGCCTTTTGAAATCTTGGACAGTTCTTGGTCATGATGTTAATAGAAGATGTGTAACTTTTTTTTTTTTTTTAATAAAACCTCAATGGCAGAACATAGTAATTTTAACTGAAAGTGTCTTAATTGCTATGGGGAGGCATTCCAGACTCATTACTAATTTATAAGATGAGCAAAGGCATGTAGATAACTTCTATTTTCACAGGCTTTGAACTTTAGTTGAGTAGGAGGCATCATTTATTGTCTCTTCTGTAGCAGATTTTAGAAACATGTAGGAAGAGAAGACACCTTCCCTGAGGTGAGGGTGATCAGAACTGATGAGATGACATAAACCAGACTAGTTCAGGTTTGAGAACAAATGGAATCCGTGTTCAGAGGTCACTGTTGGAAGGCTGGCACAACACAAAAGCGAAAGGAAAAGGCAAAGGATAAAGGCTGTTCATGTGTAGGGTACAGGGGAAAAGATGTGAAGGTGGGAGAAGGAGAGAAAGAGAACAAGGCAGTCATTGCAAGTAATGCCTCCTTAAAATTTTTAATGCTTGGTCATAGTAGGCCTTAAGTCTGAGGGACCTCTCTGTAATAAAATACTGTTGAAAAAAGCACTCCATTAATTTTTATGTATCCTCATTTGACATCTCAGCCATTTCTCCATTTCTCTCCTCCTCCTTTCTGCTCACCAAGTGGAAAGGTGAATTTCTGCCACTTGCTTATGGATGAAGTGCAGCTACAGGTTCTAATGAGTTGTTAAAATGTTGGATATTTCTTTAAGGCGGATCATGAATTGTTTGTGTATAGCAACATGGAATAAATACTAGTTTATTTCTGTATTCCTGAAGTTTCTCTGTTTACTTCTTCATTCTTGTGTAGATAGGGAACTTGTGTGGGAAAAAGCAAGACTGGAGACAAGAAATAATTAACAGTGATGACCCAGTAATGAAATGAGACACCAGGTGCAGAGACTCAGTTAATCTATGAGCAAGGAAAGCAGCAAAACCAAAACACCTGTGTCTCTTAATTAAGCCAATGACTGAAACTGCAGCCCCCATAGGTCAGACAGGATAAATTTGTGAACTCTTCTGAAGGCATGATGTTAAATGTTGCTTATCTGTACTGATTGCTGAGTTATGGGCAGTACAAGTCCAGTTTCCAGTGTCATCTTTGAGTTTGATCCTATGCAGGTGTCAGTGGTAAAGGGTAAGTGCAAGTGCTAAACCATTGTAGCTGAGTAAATGTAAAACATTGCCTGTAAGAAAAATCTGTTCCTTGTTCACTATGAATTCGTCAAGCAAGATGTAAGGGTGGAAAAAATGAATGCATTTGCAAGTGAAGTTATTTTGGCATTTGTCACAAAAAGAATATTTGAATGTGCAGGTTTCTGTAGGCTTTACTACAAGTAGGGCTCTGCTAACATAAAACTCTTTTCTAGTTTATTGTTTTGTACTGAAGTTGCTGAGATTCTGGGAGTAAATGGTCCTGAGGTTTGAGGGGGGTTGGTGTTGGAACTTTTATTCCTGTGTGTGTTTGAGGTGACTCCTGAAAAAGAGCCCTGAGGTAGCAGCCAGAGCTCCTATGGAAAAGCTGCATAGCCACCAGAATTTGTCCAAACTGTGAGAACTAAGAGTTTGGGAGTAATTTGAGTGGAAAAAGGAAGTTATCTTTGTGAGTTTGGCTCCTACATAGGCTTTTTTCTATGAAGGGAACTTTAAGCTTCTCAGTCTTTCTTTTATATATATTTTTCTTTTTGGTTGTTTTTTTTGGGGGGGATTTTGTTTTTGTTTTTTTTTTGCAGGCCATTGTTGCTTTACTATTTTTATTCCTTGTCTTGTAACAGAGGATTCACATCCTCCTCCTCTACAGATCTGCATGTTATGTATTTCCAGTCTGTTTACTGCATGGGTAAAAGAATAATTTTCAAGAGAGGGCTTGAGTAAGGAAAAGAGAATGTTCTCACATCTCTTGAGATGGAAATGTCTCAGATTAGGACTTTCCCAGCACCCACCTGTGTGAGTTGCCACTCATGGTACAACGTTGGTTCTTGCTTCCTTGGGTCTACCCCTTTCTCATGAAGGTGTAAATACATTCAAAACCAGATTAATCCAGGTTCCTATGTTTATCCCTCCTCCCTGAACTGGAGGTGGATGCCAAAATAAATTACCCCACATCTGTAAATCTTCCTCTCTGTAAGATGTTCTGGGATAAAAGTTCATTTAGTGCTTTAAATATCACCAACATGTTCATTCCAGAAGTAGTCAAATGAGGACCAGTGGAAGTGCATTGTTGGGAGAAGTCTATGTTTTTGCAAGATTGTCTCAGCTAAAGGGTTTATTGGGATTTTTTTTCCTTAAGAAAAATCACAGGGAATTCCTGCTCAATCACAGTTAGGACCCCTGAGAACAAGGCAGATCAAAAAAGATGTATTGAAACACCTTATGGAATTCTGCTAGCTGATACAAGCCCTGGAATTCTTAACATTTTGTGACCAAATTGGGTAATTAGCCTAATCTGTAAAGTAAAAGGTTATTAGTAGTTTTTCATTTTTGTAAATTGCTTTGTGAAGTGGTGGATTTAATTGTATGATGTTTTTGTATTGAACTTGTGTGTTGAGCTATTACTTCCTGCAATTGCATTTTAAAAATGTTCTTTGCCCTTTTGCACCTCTCGAAGTTGGATAACAAAAATCCTGGAAAATGGCAGTATAATTTCTGCCCATATTCTCTGCACAACTCAAAAACTGTCCATGCTTGTGTTCACTTAATGCCAAGAAATGTGATAGGATCATGTATTAGAGAAATGCAAACAGATTGGGGAAAATCAAGAGAGAACCAAAGTTTTGAAGAGAGACAATGTGGATTCAAGTATTGATAGATGTCCACTTGCTGCATTTGATTATTTCCTGCTGAAAGTAACCAGTTTTCTTCAGCTTGTGTGGTAGGAGATATGATTATATATATAGTTTTATTTATATATAAATTATGTATCTAAAACTGTGGATCCTTAACTGTGAACACTTGTTAGTGAGGCACATCCAAAACTTAGCAAGGTGTTGGTCAGTATTGGTCAGAGAGATCTTCAGGGCGTTTATTTAAGGAAAATTACTGAGTTCTATGACTGCTTTGGCTCTGGGCACGTTTTCAGTATGAAGTTTTGGCACAGGAATTGTGGAGCACTGGCTTCAGGAGACTCCAGGTGTCAACACACAGGGCCTTAGCTTGTATTAAATACTTAGCCAGTATTTAAAGAATAAAAAATAAACAGATGAAAGAAAGGCCATCTACAGAGTTCTGTAAGCCACAATTTAGTTCACAATGAGGCAGTTTAGCTGCCTTGGTGGAGCCGTGGCATCTCCAGGATACCAAATAACCTTGTTTTGATGCACTCATTGAAGGCTGGTGATGCAATGCAATGATCTGTTCATCCTGAAGGAGAACAGCCTTTTGCTTTAATTAGAGCCACTCAGAATCAAGGGCGTGTTTTACCTCTAAAAGGGGAGTAGAGAGATTATTTTGAAGAGAGAAACTGTTCATAATGTATATATTTAGTAACTTAAAGTGGGTTTAAAGTTAGTGAACCCTTTGCACTGTGCTGTTTGGCTGCCAGACCCAAAAGGCCAATGGAACTTTGAGGGGTTTAGTTATATAAATATGGAATTTTGGAGTGGGAGGTTGTCTTCAGACCTGTTTCCTATAACCTATAATTGGGTCTCCAAGGAAATGTAAATTATGCCTGCAGCTTGAGGTGTAGTTAATGCTCTCTGAGAATAATTATTCTGATGGTTCTTGGAGGAAAAAGAGCAGAGGAATAGGTGCAACATGTGGACAGCAAGTACAAATGTGGTGTGTGTAGCAGCTCCACTGTTTGTTCCTTTATGCTAATCGATCCTCATGATAATCATAAGTAAATTATCTACATTGATTTATTTCTGAGGCAGTCAGCTTGCAGGTTCTTTCTATTTAACCCTGAGCAGGCTGGAAGACCTTGAAACAAATTTGAGCTGTGGCTTTTGATGAGCTTGGTGTCCACGGGTGGTGGAGAGGTTACAGTTAGCACTTCAGAGATGATTTCTGTAAATGATCCACAGCTCTGTCCCTTAGAAATTAGATTACTGCTGTATAGGTGGAGTAAAAACCTTGAAACTATTCAGAAGTTCTAGTTCTTTCTTTATTTGTGCTTTTACAAAGGGACACCCTAAGTGTTATTATTGCTGGGCCCGATGCATTGTGGAGCTTCCATTTACAAAATGCTGTGGGATGTGGGAGATCTGAGCTGGGGCTTGGGCAGGATTAGGCAGAACCTTGTTCTTTTCCTAAAGCTGATTTTGGATGTCCCAGGTGTGGAGCTGGAGTGTCCAGACTGGGCATCTGTGTCTGACTAATGGATCCACTGCCTCTGAAATTCCATTTCTCCCCAGTCCTCTGTTGAGTTACTCTGGCTGAAGGGAGTGTGAGAGTGGAAATATACCTGGTGGCTGCTGGAAAAGGGCTGCAAATTAATTCTGCCAGGAAAACACCTGCTGCTAAAGCTTTCCATGGCTCAGAGGTGCCTGTGCATAAACACAGCCCGAGTTTTACCTCTCTTTCTGTGCTGGTGCCTTTTGTGGTGATGCTCAGGTGCCCAGGGCTGCTGGGGATGGGGCTGAAAGCAGCAGTGGGGCCCTGGAAGGATTCAGATTTAGGGCTGTTCCTTCACATCCCCATGTGCTGACACTTTGTAGGAGTCTCTTCAATACAGTGTGGTCTCCAGAGATTCTTCAGTAGCTGATAGCTCAAATACACTGAGAATATCTTCTGTGTGGTTTAACCTGCATATAACTCTGAAGTAGGGCTTTCTTCTGTGTATCACAATGAAATAGGGCTTAAATCCAGCATTAGGATCCTTGCTTGCCTTTCTGAACTCATGGCCATCTCTTTAGCAGCAAAATGGGATGTCATAAATAACAATTTCAAGTGCTGAACAGCAGGAGGCACTGAACTTCTAAAAGATAATTTGTGCAAATGCTCCTACCTCCTTCCTACCAATTTATTTCCATGGAAAATTAGAATGTATCAACATCTCTCTCAGCTTTTTGCTACTTCTGGAGGTTTTGGTATCAACACTGGCCTCCCTTTAGGCACACAGTTGTACCTGATCTGCTAACATGTAAACTGTTGGAGTCCTGCAATTCCTTGCTGAGTTGCCTTTCAGATCCAGAAATTGCATCATTCTCCTACTTACAAACACTGAGTCTCCAGGGCTTCTGAGCACTCTTCCCTTCACCCACAGTGCTCTAATAATGATATATTTAAATGAGCTGTCTGCAAAGTGCAGGTTCTTACAACAGATGAGCAGAGTTGTTTGGAGGCAGTGGCAAGGTAGGAAGGCAAGGAAAACGCTGAGGTTATGGTCTGCAAAAGGTACAGTGGGAGTGAATGGCACTGAGACCTGCTGCTGTCTGGACTGGGAAAAGCTCCTTTCTTCCCTTCTGCTCCAGTCTGAGGATTGAGGGAAGACCCAGGCAAGGAGGGAAGTTCTTGCTGTTCATTTTGTTTACTATGGGATTTTTATTTGGGAAAAATGCAACCAAGGCAAGCTTTCAGAGGCCTGAATAAATCCTAGAGGAAAGGGCAAGGAAGAAGGCAAGAGGAGAAAAAGCTCTGCACCCTGCAGTGACTCAGTGCACCTTTCTGCCCTGCTGGCTGGCCAAAATTCCTGGCCAAAGGAGAGGAGCAGTGACTTCAGTGTGCAGCACAGCACTGCTGATCCCAGGGAATTCCTGTGTGTGCGGTTCCCACCACCCGCTGTCCCCAAAAACAGGTGACTCCATGGGTGGCTCTTTATCCAGAGCACAGGTAAGGGAAATTTCCAGGAATTTCAATGTGCCTTGCTGGTGGTTTGCACTCTGAGCATGAGCACAGTGGGATGCTGCTTGTGGCTGTTTGTAAATATGGACGGAATTACTTAATTTCAGTTTAATTGGTCCACAGTTCATTTTGGATTGTATTTATTTTGCCAAGCCAACTTTTGATTCTTTGGGGAATTCATATTGAAAAAGATGGGGCATTTCCATGGAGCAGAGGTTTTCATTAAGGGGAAAAGGTATCAAATAAACCCAATTAGCAGAATGTGTGATCTCCAAAGCCACCATGCTCAGCCAATCCCTCTTCTAGCAGGATGCAAATTTGTCTCCTGTGCTTTTATTAAAGTTTTAGGTGTAGGATTCAGTATTAGGTGGTTTTGATTAGCCCACCTGTTAGTAGGAAATGACTTCCAATACTCTATTGCTGTGCTGTCCCCATTATTTTTCCTCTTAACTACTCTTTTTACAAATTTTAAATTTTTTAAAAATTAAGTTGATGGCTCTGCATGCCTTCTGTTCATCCCAAGGGAATTTTAGATTTGAAATCATTATAATTTGCAGTTACTTGGATATTTGAGACACACTCTGATATTTACTCAATCTAAGCTGTATTTGGTGGTTTAAAGTAAAGCTCTGACCTGTGCAAATTGCTCCATGTGTATTTCTGGAACAGCACTGATTTTAGCAGCAAAACTTGGATCTAAAACCTGGGAGAAAATTGTGCTGTGCCATCCAGGGCACCACTTTTTGATGTCCCTTAATATGAATCACCAGTAATGTTATTTACCTTCAAATTGTTGATTGTTTCTTAGCACATATGTAAGGGAGGCTTTTGTGCAGAACTGAAATCCATGCATGATTTATGTTTTCTAAGCATGAAAATTATTGAAGTTTTTTTTTTATTTAAAAAACACTATAAAGATTGTCTTGCTCATTATCAAACTAAATGCATTCTAATAATGCTGTATTCTACCCTTCACTGGTTTGTAACAAATTAGCAGAATTTAAATCTCACATGAACATGCCTGAGGCCATAAGCATTCCACGAAGTATCATTCAATTGGCTTAATTTGATTTAACGTTCTGCACTAACAGAATAGTGTTGGAATATAATGAAATAGTTAGGGGAATAAATCACATGGGACTCCATTTTCTTTGTGGTGGAAAAAGGCAATTCTTTATTCACAGAACTCCATTTTATACAGTTTTACAGACCTGGTGCGTGACTCCAATTGGTCAGTAGCTTTCTTGCCAGTTTCTTTATTGGTTAGTAACAAGTTATTGTCCTGTATACTGATTGGTCACTCAGACCCCAGGGTGTATCTGCAGGAAAAGTTGTTTGTGAGAAATAGTTTTCCTTTTTCTATCTAACAGTGTAAAAACAGTTTATATAGGTGCTGGTTGTTTTTCACCCAGGAGTAGATTGTTGTGCTAACAAACTGCTCACACCAGGATTCCTTTCACATGGGAACTTGCAAAGTGCTAGCTTGACTTAGAAGAAATGACAGCCTAACAGCTTTTTGAGGCCTTTTTCTTATAATTTTTCCACTTTACTACAACAAATAGTGACTTCAATAGTAACCTTTCTTTACCTTGTGTACTGTGTGATAGAAGCTGTCCTTGCTGGGACAAGGCCTTGTGCCTTTGTTTGCCAGTCTGCAGCTGCTCCCAGAAGTGTTTTGTGCATGCTCACCCATAAATGAGAGAGAAACTGAGAGAGTCCTGCCTTTCCTACTTCAGGAAATCACCTGTTGGCCATTTCCCTCTTGCTCCATTTGCAGGGTGTTCTGTAGCCTCTTCATGGAGATTTTCTCTCACTGTTAGCCAGATCAAGAGCTGGCAGTGCTGTTAGGGGAGAAAGAAACTGGTTCCAATCCCCAAGGCTCCAGGTGGCTCTGTGAAGTCAGGAGCTGGTTTCTCCTGACTGCTCTGAGAATTAGAGCACATCCCATGAGACCTATTTGGGAAGCTGCTTGCAGAGTGGGTGTCTTGCTTCCTAGCTTATCAATCAGATAATGTGTCTGTCTTTTTATTCCTGCTGCTGTTCCAGCTGTGCCACTTCTACAGGGCTGCCAGGGAAGCTTGAGGAACGTTTCAGCTCCCAGGAATTGGTGCTGCAATTCACCAGTGCATGTTGTAAGCATCATTTACAAGGAGGAGGAGGCCGTGTCAGTGCAACACAGCTTGCCTGGCCTCCTCCTGCTTTTGCATGTCTCCAGAGAGCAGAGCTGCCAGCAGGCACCTGAAAGGCTCCTGCTCTGCAATTTGGGAAATCATGGAGAGGTTTCAGGGCCACCAATATATGAGAATTGTGTTGTGCTAGGGTGTAACGTGTGGAAATGTGATTAGCTACAAAATTGTAGGTAATTCAGATATTTTTTCAGCTTCAGTCCCTTATAGGAAGGATGTGAAGTAGAGGAACTGCTAAAAAGAGCTCTTCAGCTTTCTGCCACTGTGGGCATCTTTATCAGATAATTTTTTAGCACTTTGTATCTCCTGCCAGCAAACACCCTTTAAGAAGGCTCAGTTTATGCCTGATGAGCAGAGTGCTGGAAATTGCCTGTGCTGCCCTTTCCCCTGGGGTGACTTGTGGCTGAGTGGCACAGCCACCTGTGGGCACAGCCTGCTCCTTCTCATGCCTGCATGACCTCTCAGGGCTGTGTGAAATGTACAGAAAAATGAAGTTTGGGTGGATTGTGGTCTGCTGCTGCTTGGGCCCCCAAACCACAGCGCTGCTGTAAATGCAACCTTGGAAAATGCAAAGCAATTATGCTTTTCATTTTGTACAAGATTTGGGCTAAAAAAAGGCCTAAACCTCACAGAAGTGGTTCTTAGGGATACTCTTAAAAGATGTTCCAGATCTCAGTGTTTCCTCAAAGCATTTGTGAATGGAGGTGAATGTGTTCTGACATCTGAGTAGTGCTTTTGCCAGAAGCAGAAATGTTGGGATGCTTTGGGGTCTGTGCGTCCCTGTCAATGTAAAATGCTGCTGTTAAAGCTCCAGCAGCCCAGCTCTGAAACTGAGGACATTCAGAATTAGCATCCTGCCCATGGGCAGGGACTGCAGGAGCCATTCCCAAGGGACAGGCAATGCCAAGCACCTGAACAACAGGAGAGCCTCTGATAATGGTGTAATGTGAGGAGTAATAGAGAGCTTAAGGTTTAATTAACTTACAGGCCACTCTCCATGTGCACAGACAATTCTGAGTCAAGGAAAAAAAGCACATGGAACAGTAGAATGTTGTCATTGATCTTGCTTTAAAACCTTCTTTTTGGTGAGTTTAAACCATATAGTAATTGAAAATACTGGTGTTAGTTATCATAAAGAGATGACTTGGCAAGGTGAACATAGCATGGAAATTCTATTTTTAAGAGAATGTAAAAATTTTGGATTGAATAAAAGATGCACCTTGATAAGGTAGACTGGCACACCACCACCCTCTCTAAAGAACTGTTTTCACACATACAGTAGTTTGCAGGAATGTGGCCAGGAAAATGCAGTGTCCTTTGACAAAAAACCCCAAACCAACAGAGCCAAATACAGTAGAGCTCCTAGGCCAAGAAGTCAAGGAATGAATATCAGAGGTGCAAAAATGCAAGTGTGCAGTTATGGACACATGCTTGAACTCTTGGTTCCCAGCCCAGGCCGACACTGAGGTTCACCCCAGCTGTGCTCAGTTATTAATGAGGCTGGAGCAGGTTCTGCTGCTCACTTTGCTTCGGGGGAGATCACATTTTGCCACCTCTGGATTTACTATAATAATTTTCCTTATGAACTTTATAAAATGATTTTTCTTTTTTCTGACTAGCTGCTTCTGCCAGCAGCACATTACTCCTCCATCGCTTCACCTGGATTGCATCCTGCGCTGTATAACTGGTACTAAGGAGCTTGTGTTTTATGTTTGGGTACACCTCTGGGTGGGTAAAGCTGCTCCAGAACCACAGAAAATCTCAGAAAGCACAAGTAGATCTGTAACAAGAGGGTACAGTCTAAAGTGCAGCTCAGTTTTAATAATCTCCAAGCCCAGTGAGAATTTGGATATGCAGATATCATCAATAAGCACGGAAATGAGTCAACTGAAATAAGATGTTTTTCTAGGAGTTTTGTTGCCTTGTTTTTATTTTCTGTATGTTGAACCAGGTCTAGCCACTTAGGGCTTGAAGGATGCCTCAGTTTCCTGGAACTGCCCATGTGATCCAAAAAAGCCACAATACTGAAGTGTGGTTTATAGCATTTCCTGCTTCGCATGGCTGGTGTGCATTGCTTTATTTCTGGTGGTTTTCTTTTTTCTTTTTTAAATTCAGGTATCCTTTCCTGCCCTGTGTGCAAGCAGACCTGCTTTGCAAGGGATGTAGTTGAGAATTTCTTCCTCAAGGACTTTCCAGTTGGTGATTCAGCTATGGCAAAGGTAAGTGAAAGCCACCAAGTTGTGGCTTGTTGAAACACTGTCAGATGAGCACTGAAAGCAGAGAAAACCTTGTTTTAAACAATGAAGATTCTCTGATAGTTTGCTTATGCAGCACTGTAATTACTTCGTTACCAGAGATGGAGACACCGCCTTCATAGTAATTTTAAAACTTTAGTTGAAGAATGAGTTTTACTCATTGTATTTTAAATAGTCCATTATAAGTATTGATACTAATCTATCTGTGATAATCAACATATTAGGAAGGTACTGAATGTCTTGGATTCCTCATTGTCCTCTTAGCTGTCAAAGTAAGCAGTCATAGAATTGTTGGGATTAGATGGGATCTTTCGAGGTCATCCAGTCCAACTCCTCACCAAGGCAGGGTCACAGGAGCAGAGGCACAGGAACACCTTCAGGTGGGATTGAAGGTCTCCAGAGAGGGAGACTCCATGAACTCCCTGGAACAGCTGTTCCAGTGCTCTGACACCCTCAGTGTAAAAGGTGACACACCTTCATGTTGAGATGGAACTCCCTGTGTTTTAGTTTATACCCGTTGCTCCTCATCCTGTCCCTGGGCACCCCAGAAGAGTGTCTGGCACCATCCTCTTAGCCCTCCTTTGAGATATTTATAAGCATTAATGAGATCCCCCTCAGCCTTCTCTCAGCTAACCAGGCCCAGTTCCTGCAGCCTCTCCTCACTGGAGAGGTGCTCCAGACCCCTCACATCCCCTTTGAGGCCTCTGCTGGATCCTCTCCAGTATCTCCTTGTCTCTCTTGAGCTGTGGAGATCAGAACTGAGGAGAGTGCTCTGGATGTGGCCTCTCTGGGCAGCTCCAGAGGGACAATCCCCCTCTCTACCTGCTAACCAGAGCAGCTGAGTCTTGGCTAAATTGTTACACCAACATCACCCCTTAGGTCATGTGAGCAGTTACAGTTTTCTGATTGTCTGTTTTAATGATACAAAAGTCACAACATATTGCAGTTTACCACTGGGGAATGGATTCAAGGGGAGGTATTGGGTTACTACTTTGGCATTGTACATAGGCGGATTTAAGTTCAGTTTAATACCCAGTGAACAGGCAGGGCTATTCTCACAGCTTTGCAGTTGCCACTAGTTTCGGTGGAGAGGAGGAACAGAGAAAGCTGGGTATTGTTAAAGGGTAAAGAATGTGTAATCTGCTCCACAGTGTTCTGGGGACATAAAAATAATTAAAGCAAGCAAACTGTATTGACATCTTCAGGTGTACATTGCTTGCAGAGTGCAACCTAAGTTGATCTAAAACAGAAGGGGTGTATTAACATGCATATTAACATGCACTCTTCAAAGAGAGGAGGAAAATTCAGAAGATACTGCTGATTTTTTAAAATGCACTTATTATACTGGGATTTCTTAATTACTGTGACTTGCATAATTTACTTTTCAATGAGAATTTGTGTAAAAAGGAAATCAGATGAGAATATCTAATGTCTTCAAAAGCATTAGATTATTTTTCAAACCATCTTTAAAAGAAGGATTTTCTACTCTGTAATCCCTCAGGAGTCCTAAGAGCAGTTCAGTAATGCAGATTTCTCACTGGAGCACAGGAGTACCCTAGAGCAACTTGTGAACCTTCAAGTTTTTAGCTTCCTTTTCATTAAGTCAAATCATGTAGCTTTGCTTGCTTTCTGTCTTTAACCACCACCACCACCACACTCCAAATGAAAGCCACAATTTCACCACCAGTGACACCAAAAGGAGAAACACCAGATCATCCACCTGAGGCACCTCTGAGCTGCCATCATCGTCTTAATTTGTCTTTTGTGTTCAAGTGGGAGTCTGTCAAGGCTTGTAACAAAGTGTTTGGAAGCAGCAAGCTGTCTCAGGGTGTGAGAGAGTGGAGCATGAATGATAGGATGTGCTACATGCCAGCAGCAGCACTTTCAGAAATACACAATTCAGAGTCTCCTGCCCAAAATCCCATTTCCACATCGTAAATAATAATGCAGCTCTGGGAACACTCTGCACCTTAAAAGTGATGTTAACACAGTGCCGTGTCAATACACATTCCGGTCAGGCTGGCAGCTGAACTGCTGCAGGTGAACCTGTGCTCAAGCAGTTCTGGTGATGGCAGAGAAGGCAGAGCATTCCTCAGCTTTTGAGCTGGACCTAGGTGGGTACATTTGAGACAAGTCACTTATTTCCATATAACAATCTTTATTCCCCAAATTAAGTATTCTTGCATTTTGATTATATAAGTTTTATTAGGCTTTTTCATTTAAATTATTGTATGTACCTTCTGGAAAACATTGCTGATAAACAAATGGCTAAAATAACATATTGGCTTGCACAAACAACTCCCTCTCTAGACAATGAAACACATTTTAAACTTTGCTTCGTTGTCTTATTGTCAAGAATTGCCCAATATGTTTGTGAATAAGTATTTAGAAACTCTTGAGTAATGGCTTGATAAGAGACCTGAATGAAATGCCAGACCCATGGAAGGAAATGATACAATTTAAATTAATTTTATCAAAACAAATTTAATTCCTGTGCCAAAGTGAGTCAGAGCTTGACTTGCTTGTGTCACGGAATTTAGGTGGATATGGATTTTCCACGAACTGTTAAAGCTGTGATTTAAAACTGAGACAACCAGCTAAGAGCTGCAGTAGTTCCTCCTTCAGACTTTCTATTTCCTGAGCCACCATGAGCAGAAACCCTTCCCAAGTTGACCAGAACTTGCATCCCTGATGCATCAGGGGTTAAGAGCTGGGCACAGGCTGCTGTGTCCTTCTCTTCACGTTCACATCAAATAGTTGGGATGCAAATATTTCAACTCCCAGCTTAATTGAAGATCAGATGATGCCCAGCAGAAAGGACCCCGTAGGAAGTGATTTTTGCCATCTATTCCTGTTTGCTTGAGTAGCCCTGAGCAGAAGCAATATTTAGGAAATTTGTGTGTGTACATAGCTGTAGTAGATATATTGTAATCTTGAGGGAAATGTTTGATTTTAATCAAGTGATGGCAAAGCCTTGGTTTTTATCCTTTGATAAAGGTAAATTTACATCACTGTGCTCGCTCTGTCCATGAGTTTTTGTGGCTATGAATATTGGGAATTTTGAAACAAGATGTTTTATGCCTAAAGCAAATAATTTTTAGAAGAATTGTCATTGTAGCTGTCTTGAAATTACTCTTGAGTTCATTCTGGATACAAGGCGTTGAATTATCCACTTCATTTCTGTGCTGCTCTGTTCATTTCTCCCCAGTGACATGTCCAGGGAACATGGCCTGTACAGCAAAGGGCATTCCCTAAATTGTTGACTCAATAGAGAAAATACTAATTAAGGTTTCCAGGTGTTCCTGTGCCTTGTGTTTGCAGTTCACCACATGTGATATCAAGATATAAACTGAGCTCGTTTCTGGCCAACTCTTTAGAGGACAGGAGCTACGCTTTTCATTAATAGTACGTGGGTGTCCCCACGTTGTTTTCTACATTGTCTCACCTTTAGGATGTTTTATGTGCTTTCCTGCATGTTACACAGTTACAACCAGACTCTTAAAATAACCTGAATTGCTTTAGTCTGAGGACAAAAAATATTAAAAAAAATATTAAGGTCACCAATGTGCATGATAGTTTAAGGACAGCAGTTTGTACAGCTGATTTGTCATGCATGTGTGTAATTTGCACTTTTTGTTCTTAGAGCTGCTCCATGTGCAAAGAGAAGAGACCAGCCCACAGCCTCTGCACCAGATGCAATAAGTGGTTGTGCAGCACATGCACAGAGGAACACAGACATGGCCAGGACCTTGGAGACCACTTCCTGTCGTTGTCCCTGAAGGGCTGCACAGGTACTGGGGGCACGCTGGAATTTTCTTTTTTCCCGTATCAGTTATTCAGCTGCAGAGGGAGCAGTTGCAGGCTCTGTGCCACAGACAGCAGGCTCTGTGTGACTCAGAAAGATATGTACATGTCAGCAAGAGATTAGGTGATTTTTCTCCGACTTTAGGGCCATTGCCACAATCAGCATTCCATGGTATTGGGAAAAAGTTTGAATATCTGTGTTTGACAGATAAGATCTCCTCTATGTGCTTTTCCAATGATGGGGCAGGGTTTGGAGAGCTACAACAGCAATAGGCCTTGCCTTTTCAGTATTTCTGTCCCAGTTTGGGGAATTTCATTGAGGAAACCATGACAAAGCAATTCCTGTGCAGATGGATAAAGGTGTGTGAGGGAGCCACAGACAGCAAAAGGCTGTGATCGCTACAGGATGTTCCTTTCAATTTGTGCTTGAGCAAACACAAATTAAGCCCACTGGCAAATATGTCTCACCCCTCTACAATGGTGATCTACAGAAAGTATTACCCTATTAGTCATTATTGTCTTTACCAATAGGTCAGAAATCTGTAGCAGAGTATGCTAACCTAAACTTATATAAGCAGTTTTGAACTAAAAATAAGAATTTGTGCTGTGCATTTATCCTTCTTCATAAGGAAGATGAAGGGCAGAAAAAGGAATTAAACCCCACTGATTATTTTTATTTTATTTTCCTTTAGGATTTTTCTTGTAGAAGACTTGCTATAGATGTTTTTTTAACTACTGGGCAGTCATATCAAGCAGATTTTGAGGCACTTGAGACAAAAATATGCAATTGCTAAATAGAGTGTAAACAAAAGAAGTCCATAAGAATGGTAATAATAAAAACCACAAATTACATTTAAATGATTTTTGGGTCTTTTCTAGAGAATTATATAAACTGAAGTCCCCCAGTTTCCCCTCACATGTCCTCATTGGATGGCCAATATGTTTTTCTTCTAAAGCTGATGACAAGATAAGGACTGTGGTTTTGAGTCTCCAATTGTTTATAATTTCATGTCACTTCAGCTGAGATTACCATCTCACATTGTTGACAAATACTGGTAAGAAATTATATATGTGGTTTAGCTGTGGGTCTCTGTGTGCTATATAAATAAAAAGATGCAGACTCATTAAAACATGAAAGAGAATTTTAGTTTAGTACTGAACTCTCTGTGTTAAACAAAACATGAACAAGGAGCTTGGTAGTTCATATATAGACTAGTTAATAGAGAAATTATTTGAAATGTAATTGGTGCTTTTATATTATATTATTATTATTAATGTATGTTTTATCTATTTATGACAGATGCCTTCTGAACAGTTCAAAGAAAGCAAATCCTGGGATATACCAGAACTCAGACTGTTTGTATTTTTCCCTTCTGGAAATAAGCACACAGCATTGTCAGTCAGGAAGGATTTAATGTGTTTGGTGTGGGATGTTCTGAAAATAGCACCTTCTTTGTGATCTCTTGAAACTATTCAGAGGTCTTGCACTTTTCAACTGTTCTATCCTTTGCCATTTCCCCTGTAAGGGCCAGATCTTCTTCTGGCAGTGGTAGATTCCTTCGCTCAGAAATGAATTAAAGTAGCAAAACACCCTCACCAAACACATTAAATCCTTCCCATTTCTAGTAATTTTAATAAACTATTTCTTGAGCTTTTCTTGAGAGCAGTCTGAGTCATTGAGAATTATGGAAATGGAGGCAGAACTCTGTTAGCTGAGATTGCTTTTCCAAAATTGACATCATCTGATCAGAGGAGCAGAGATTTAAAACTTTGTTAATTATTCAAGAGATCCACCTGAGATAAAGAAAATATGGGCTGTAGAAAATGGTGAATTATCAGAATTTAGGGCAGCTGAGCTTTCCCTGCTCACCAAGGGAGGTTCTTTTTAAGAAGCTAAAATGGGTAGTTGTGGTTAGGTGTTTGCTTCTAGAAAAAAAACAAGGTTGTGCCCTTGTTTAGTACCTGATTTCTAAGTATTAAATTTATTTCAAAACTGAGAAGTGTTGCTCTGAGCTGAGTAAAAAGTAGGTCAAGAATGCCATGGCTCAGTGGCAGTTCTCACTGATATGTCAATTGATCCAGGGGATTACTGGTGGCAGAGGCTGTGGATCTGTGCTGCAATTAGATAATACTGATTTTATTCTTAGTTGGCATTTGAAATCTGCTTGTCTCTTAAATCTGACATGGTATTAAAAACCCCAATGAATTTTCTGGGATGATTGCAATCACCCAAAGGCTAAAGAACTCTTCAGAGAGAGAAAAGGGGGAAATCATTATATAGGATTGTAACTTCATGATATTAACTACATGGACATTAAAAGACCACGTCTCATTATCAGTTTGAGCTTAATATAGAAAACTTGATCTTGAGTTTACAGAAAAACAGTTTGTATGCTCTGCAGATACTGAACACTTTGAAAGGCTTTTCCAGCCCATAAACCGTCAGAAAGTTATTATGGCCTTCTTTTTTTCCCTTTTAAGATGTAAAATCTGATCACATAGGGGATGATCTTTGACATCCTCCTTGGATATATATTGGTTGTACAACCTCGTTATGTGCTTGTCAGCTGCAGGTTTTAATAAGAAGTACATATTTGCAATGTAATCAGAAAAAAAAAATTGTTGTCAAGGTGAATTCAGTTTGATCCTTTCTAGTAGAAAATATTGGAGTGGGTTAAAAAAGCCCTAATCTAATTTCCTCCTTTATTAATGCTACCTATTAGCATTTGATTCAATAATGACATGAACCAATAGAATTTCCTGAAGAGTAAAGCAGGGTGCTGCAGTAAATAATTCATAACAATGTGAGCTATGTAAGGCTGTTACATAAACTCTTGGTCTAATCTGTCGCAAATTATTTTCTTGCACATTGTTAAGAAGGTGGAATGAAAGTCAATGGAACTGGAGGAAATAAATCAAGCTCCTCAGAAATATTTAGAGTAGATAGCAATCTAAAAACTGGGCCATTTGACATGTGTTTTTTAGAGAGTGGCGTGGATTTTCTCCATATTTGCATTGTCATTGTTAGCCAGGAGATTTTCTTAGCTTTTGTACTTCTCTGTTGTGAATTTTACAATTTGAAAATGAAGTGGCTGAGCCAGTACAGCTTGCTGCACTCTGTGGGTCTGTGTAATTGCAATAGTTATCACTTCTGAATATACAAAAGGCTTCATTTTGCTACAGGATGAGAGTATGGTCTCTGTCCTAGGTTGGTTCTTTAAAAAGTATATTGATAAGTAAGAGGTTTGGTGTGGGAAAATGGAAATATTTCCTCTTATTTCATATGAGCAGATAATTATGTATAAATAATTAATGCCTTTATATAATTTTAAATTTTACCAATATGTGTTATCTAAGAATGCTTGTTTAATTTCTCACATGCTAGTAAAGAGTAATGGGACAATGTCTTTGTTGGATACTCTGGTGAAGCAATCAAGCCTTTCCTTGGTGGTAGAGGGTTGGCTTTGCCGTGGTTTAGCTTTGTCTTTTTCTGGCATCTTTTGTTGACAGCATTCCTTCTTTCTAAAACAATTCTACCATTCAGAACAAAGGCAAGAATAGATTGTATAGAAATAATGCTTCCACTTTGCAAGCCCACTATCCATTCTTACTCTTTAGAAAATCCTTTTAAGAACAGATTCTAGGGCCTAGTATCAGCCCCAGCTGCTGAAATTTGTGAACTGCATTGCAACAAACACAAATCTGGAAAACAGTTGCTCATGTGACTTTTTAAGAGCAAAGGGTTTCCTTGCTTCTGCTGTGACTGCAGGTTTATTTAATTTATTTACTATTCTACATTTTTCAATAGTTTTGTTGAGTGGTTGACCAGACCAGGGCATTTAAAGTTGTGAGGCAGGTGCTCCAAATCATGATACTTTAAACTCATGAGTGTTTAGTATGATTTGTTTGATGGCTTGTTCCTGGTGTGCTCAGATTGTTGGATGTGTAAGGAAAAAAAAAAGCAAACAAATCCAGCCTCAGATAATCAGATAGTTCCAGATTCTGTGCTTTTAAAAAATGTCATTGAGACTTTCCATGAAACTGTGAGGTTGGTTACTCTTTTTCTGAGCTCCCCTTGTGGATGACAGCCTTGCTTTGCATTCCTCAGCAGGTGAAGATGAAGTGAGGGAGTTTTCCTTGTTCTGCCCAGTGCACCCTCAAGAGGCCCTGAAGGTGTTTTGTGAGACCTGTGACACCCTCACCTGCCGCAGCTGCCTCCTGGCCGAGCACAAGGAGCACAGGTACCGCACTGCAATGGTGCCCGCCTGGGCCTTTTCCGCCTGGGCCTTTTCCGCCTGGGCCTTTTCCGCCTGGGCCTTTTCCGCCTGGGCCTTTTCCGCCTGGGCCTTTTCCGCCTGGGCCTTTCCCCCCTTTTCTGCCTGGGCCTTTCCCCCTGTGGTAAATAGGTATGATTCGTGCTGATAAAAATTGAAACAGTAATCAATATTGATACAGTAATTAATATTTGAGAATAATATAATAGTTAATAGTTAAAAGTTGTAATGCCAAAGAAGAGAGGGAAAGGAGGGGCTCCACCCACCCCCCCCTTCTCAGCAGATGTTCTCAAGGACCACAGGAAAGAAGCTGAAGATACAGTTGCTAAAAATGACCAAGAACCTGGTTGGGTCCAAGAAAATGCTAATTATAAGGGACTTATTGCTTTGATATGTAGATGCAGTGATATGTTAGTCTTAGCTTACATTGTACTGGCTTGGTGTGCATGTGTAACCCAAAGGTGAATTAAAGGACAATGAAGAAGACTACAGGGCCTTCATCAGTGACGACCCCCAAAGACTTGTGCGACCACCAAACCGAGTGGTGGCGCATGCGTGGTAAAGGTGGTAATGAAGGCGGAGACAGAAAAGTGACGAACCGAAAATAGGAGGAGATGGAATTGACACATGGCATATAAGGGGTGACTTTTACTTGGCGAGCTTGTATGTGAAGTGGCAAGGGTCAAGAACCCTGCCCTCCGTACCCCATGGTTGTTTTTGCTTATGCGCTATTATTCGAACCAAATTATCCCTTATTTATATATTTTCTAAACTATTCAATTAAAATTGTTGCTATCTTAAATATTGTTTGGTTTTTTTGATGGGATAATTGGGCAAACATAACACCCCCTTTTCTGCCTGGGCCTTTCCCCCCTTTTCCACTGTGCTTGCCAGCTGAGGCTGCAGGCTGCTCTGAGTTTAAAAGCCACAGCAACCTCAGCTCAGCTGTCTCACAGGTGATTTCACTCGCATCGATCTCACTGCCCTGGCAGAAGCCCTCCCTGCTCTCACCTGTTTCCATGAGTGTGGAAAACCACGGTGTGACATTTCCCCTTCTTTCACAGGTTCAGGCATCTCGATGAAGCGCTGCAAAATCAGAGAATTATCCTGGAGAATGTCATAACTAAGGTGGAGGAGAAAAAAAATGGGATTCAGGTTTCAGCTAAACAGATTGAAGACAGGTAATTGCTATGTTTCTTTTTTTTTTTTAATGCAAGTAGCTGATCGGTAAAAATAATATTTTCACTAAATGTAGGTTAACGGAATTAAATGCCGCTTTTTTTTTTCTTGGAAGATAGAAAAGAATAGGAAGATTAAAAATGTCAAATTCATGTTTAAGTGGTACTGACAAGTCATGGCATTGTAATACACGATTCCATGCTCTTTGTAAGGCACGTGACAGCTGAGTTCAGAGTTAAGATTTCTTTGTATAATCTGTTTCTGAGCTATAATTTGACAATATTACAAATAAATATAATTTTAAGATACAAGGTATCTTCAAGAAACCTCAAAACAGGATGCAATTTCAGTCAAGATGAATATGAAAAAGAAAATATTTAATTATTTGAACTGGATTTCAGCTACTGATTATGCATTTAGTAGCTGTTGGATCTCTCTTCTGCATTAATAAAACCAAGAGTACAAATCTATTTATACTGTTTATAATCTAGTATAAACTGGAAGTTTTGGATATATTATGTGTGTATTTGTTGAAAAAGAACTAAAGACTGTTTTGGCATGATGTTTGAGAGAATCCATCAGCATTAGCATGTCACATCCAGAGAGGGGTGGTCAGGGTTCAGAGAAGTGGGGGAGCACTGATGGGAAATGATAATGCAACTCTCACTGCTGTTCTGTCAGTAGACAGGTCAGTTCTTGTAGCAAATAACTGCTGAGCAGTGAATAAATGTCACATCAGGGATATGTACCTCTTACCCACAGGTTGCTTGAAGTAAAACATCTGTACAAAAAGGTGGAAAACCAAATAAAAATGGCCAAGATGGTTCTGATGAATGAAATTGATAAACGAACAAATATCCTCCTTGAACAACTGGAAGTGAGTAAGGCTAGTTGCATTTGATACCTTGGGAAATCAAACTAAATTACATTTAATCCCAGTGCCAGTAGAACGAATATAGACTGTGGGATCTATTGTGCCATTCCTTATATTTTCAAATATTTGGGTTTTTTTCTGCAGACTTTGATGTGGAATCAATGGTCGACAAAGATTCAGGGCAAAGTGGCAACATGTTTCTTTATCATGAGTTAACCACAATTTCTAATGCATTTACAGAGAATGTGCGCACCTTTTGAGCACTTAAAAAATAAACCTGATTCTGATTTTGATGTTTAATTTGTAGGAGCCCATTAACAGCTCAATCTCATTTCAGAAATGATTCTTTGGTCTAATTTCTGTAACAGAACTTGTGAGTTTTGACCCTTCAGTTTTTGGATGTCCAGCTGAATTATATGAGATTTTGTTTTGAAATGTGCTGAGGTGAAAAATTGCTGATCAGAAATTCCAGATGAGAAAGTGGCCCACATGCAAATTTGATCCAAGTTCTACAGCTTTCTTGGGTGTTATGTTATTCTGTTAAACCAGGGCCAGAATGATGCAGATTGTTTGCTCCTGGGGAAGTCATTGTTCTTCCTGAATTCAGACTCATCTCCTGAGTTGGATTTGCTTTCTTTCTGTGATGGGTGGTTTGAAGAGATTGTGAAGAACAGTATTGCTGCAAATACTGCATCATGCAGTGCCAATGATTGCATCTGTTATGTGTATCTGAAGAATGACAGCCCTTTTCTACTGATTCATGTTATCAACAGAAAATCACCAGTGAGAGGAAGCAGAGACTGGAGCAGCAGCTGCAAAGTGTTGTGGTTTTAGGCAGACAGGTGGAACACGTCCAGAACTTCATCAGCTGGGCCGTGTGTAGCAAAAAAACCATCCCGTTTCTCTTCAGCAAGGAACTGGTAAGAGCAAAGCTTGTTGTGCAGTAATTGTGAGAACTACTTTAAGATCCTGACGTTGATCAAATAAAACATTTTCCACCATCTTAGAATTGTGAGTAAAATCATTGTCCTTTAATGTGCCCCCAGATTGTGTTTCAGATCCAGCGCTTGCTGGAGACAAACTGCAACATGGACACGGGCCCTCCTCTGAAAATCAGGTTTGCTTGGGATCCCTCCTACTGGACTAAGCAGCTCTCCAATTTGGGTAAGAAAATTAAATAGGCAAATGCCCAAAGCTAAGCTAGACAGGTGCAGACAATACAGTGCCTCCCCTAAAGGGCTCTCCTTTCTTGTTTTGGCATCCACTTCTGAAACTCTTGCTGTGTTCTGAAAAAAAGGGAGTGTGGCTGAACTCTCTTGTTTTTCTCTCTCCATTTATATCCACTCACCAAAAGACCATTGAGATGTCTGGTGCTTTCAGTCTCTTAGTGGCCAAATGAGCTGAGCACTGTTGAGACACTTGCAATTGCTTGGCACAAAGATGGCTTTAAGACACTGTCTGGACAATAATTACAGTGATACCTATATATAACATGTCCATACTGTGACTTTGTTTCTCAGCAGCCACAGGTTTTCTGCAATGGCTTTTTACCATAAATTCAGCTCAGTGGGCTGATCACTGATCTAAGAGATTAGGTCTCTTCCCATTTTAAGGTTTTAAAACATAAAAGGGGTAAAATGCTATCAAAAGTATTTTAAAAGCAGGGAGTAATCTCTTGATGGACACAATCATTTCATAGGTCACTTCTATTTCCAGCTTTTATAAGTCTCACCTACATAACATAATCTTTTATTTTTGTCACTTGCCCCCTGGAAGCTGTTTTTTGTACCTGTGCTTATGGATGAGAAAAGCTCGTACTTCTGTACAAATTGAAAGTATAAGCCATATCCATCAGTTAAGATAAAATACGGTCAATGTTTCAAAGTGTTTGCTGGGTAATTCAACTGTGAGTTCAACTGACATCAGTAGGAGTTTGGTGTGAATTGAAATACTAGATAAATATTGGAAAATTTATCTTGAATGGATGTTGGCAGACTGTTTGGATACAATATTTGAATATCTTTTACATTTGAAATGTGCATGATGGCCATTTCCTTGAGTACAAATTTTATTGTATACATTTGTTAAGACTATGGGAGGGAGTAAATTTGCTGGTTTTTTTCCAGGGGGTTTCACAATGGAAGGTGGACACCTTACTCACCCAGATGTACTGCTCTGTGGAAATATGCAAGGGTTGCAGCCCTCTCTGTACCGTGGGCACCCCTCGCCAGCCCCCCAGCTGGAGAGCAGCCAGCCTCACCAGTTCCCCGCCGCGCTGCCGTGCTCTGCGCCCGTGTGCTGCTCCCACTGCCTCAGCGTTCCTCACCCCAGCAAAGCCCAGCCTTCCTACCAAGACATGAGCCACCACAAGGGCTTCCACCAGCCTCCTGCCCTTCATCAGCAGCACTTCCCTCTGCAGTACAGCCTGCAGCCCCAGGACAGGGAGCCACGGGCTGCCCCCCAACCCGTGAAGCTGCCGCCGGCTGGGCTGGAGCAGCAGCCGCGCTCGGAGCCGGAGAGTGCGGTGTCCGGGAGGGTGGCAAAGGCCTTCCCAGCCCAGCAGCTGCACCAGGGCTGTGCTGGGGTGTCCCACGAGGCTCAGCAGGTTCCCTTGAGCCACCCACAGGCTCCTCTGCAGACATCAGCTCTGGGAGTGCAGCTGGGCCACGTCCAGAAGATAAAACCCAGCCATGTGCCACAGCCACCCCCACAGCAGCAGCAGCAGCCCCTGGTGTCCCCCCCGGCAGGGCACGACGAGAGCACCCACAAGCAGGTCATCCAGCAGAGCCTGGACATCATGCACCACCAGCTGGAGCTGGAGGAGATGAAGAAGGATCTGGAGCTTCTCCTGCAGGCCCAGGGACAGCCCAGCTTGCAGCTGAACCAAGCCAAGCCGCCGCAGCACGTTCAGCAGACTATAGTTGGTCAGATCAACTACATAGTGAGGCAGCCAGCTCCAGCACAGCAGCAAGTCCAAGATGAAGCCCAAGTATGTTCTCTCAAAGTTATTTCCTACTGCATTTAGTCAGTGTAAGCTCAGAAACTGGACACACCTTTTATTGGCATCTTGTCTATGCATGCAGCAGAGAGGCTTCATGCCTCATGCAGATTGGGCCAAAATTTTCTGCCAAGTTTCTCTTTATTTTTTTCAAATTTTTTGTTCTGCATAACCACCCTGGAGCCCAAAGATCTATATCTCTCAGTAGGCAAGGTGAGCAGTAATGTGGGAGAATAAAAGCACCATCACTCCTCCTTTGTGAATAGATGACAGGAGGACTGCTGTAGTTGCACTCTGCATTTCAACTCTTATTTACTGGAAACATTAGGACCCGAGTCCTTAAAAAGCATTAGATTCTGAATTATTATTGAAGAGAGAGAAGACAATTTCTTGGTTTGAGGGTTATTTCCCATTCTCTTTTTCTGCATCATGTCATTTAAGATTATCATCATTATCCAGGCATGCTGTTGTGCTACAGTTTTTTAGCAGGGCTAATGTCTTCCCTTTTCCTCTGTTAGTGAGGAGCCTGCTTTTGAAAGAGGGACAGTCCTTGGGGGTGAGCATCCAAGCTACAAGGCAAATCAGCTGCAGAATAAAGTGGCTTAGAAATTAATTTAAAATGGTGGAAAGGTGGCTCAGACTTGCCATTGTGTAAATTCTGTGGAGCTGCCACCTTGGATAGTTCTCAAGGTAGATTACCTGCAAGGGCAGACTGCAACCTTTTGGTGTAGCTGCACATTTCAGCAGGTATATTGAGTCTTTTTTTTTTTTTTTTTTTTTTTTTAAGAATTCATAAATATTTGAGAGAAAACTTTCTCAATTTATCTCCCTGCTTAAGGTTGCCTTGAACATCTCTGTTGCTTTAGAGTCTTTTTGGGCTTGTCATCATGTGTATGCTGTGAGTTGATGCATATTTGTTACTGTTTTTCTTCCTGAGCTGTTGAAAAGACAAATCCTCATTTGTGATTTGTAGGTCTGTGAGAGCTCCACAGAAGCTGATGCCCAGAAGCCTGTCATTCCTCTTGACAAAAGTGACAGTCCCTCCCTGTCACAACCCTTAGAAGAAGAAGCCAGTGGCAGGAGCCACTCCCCTGAGAGCACACTGCAGCAATCAACTTTCCATCCAGTGAGAAAGGTATAAAGAACTTATTAAAAAAATTAAAGGGAAAATAGGATTTTATAATATTGAATGTGGCATTGGAGTTTGCAATCAGGTGGAAAAATTAAAATGCAATAGAAGTCAGCCAAATGGCTTGTAAGTTTTGGAAGACAGTCATAGCCTGACCATGTGTGTATGTCACAGTAAGGTGCCAGGATGAGAAGCTCTTCTAGAGGCTGATGGTGTTTAGGTCTGGCTGGCATGATTGTTAGACATGAACTGGCAAATAAATAGATGCTCTATTTCTTCACTGCCTGAATTCTGCCTAGCTTCTATGTCTAGGGATTTAATTATTAGGAGTCGCTAACTACCATACTAGGAGCAGTTAATTTGAAAAAAATAAATAAAGCAGGAGTCAGAGGTGCTGATGAAATCAGGCCTGAGAAGCAATCTTCAAAATAGTTGCCTCAGAAACAGCACCACTAATTACTGCTGGAGGTGGGGTGCCTGAAACTCTGTTATACTTCTTCTCATTCCTCATGTATAAGCAGAAAAATCACAATTTCTCTATATCTAGAATATTTTATTATAGAGCTAGGCTTTGATCTTCCCACCTACTGTGAGGCTCTGACCATTGAAGAAGCAGCATGAACGCAACTAGGAAGGCCAATAATTATCACTAGACCCTTGCTGGCTCTGGATATCACCTGTGCTTTTGAAGCAGAGAATCTGCTTTTACTTCTCTGTACAGCTTCTTTAAAACACTCTAAGCAACATGTCATATTGTGGTTTTTCAAATCTGTTTATTACTTCAGTGGATGACTCATTTTGTGTACCATGTAGAAGATCTTCATAGGTTTTTTTTCCTTGGAATTTGTCTGTGGAATATTGTGGAAGTACTATCTTCCTTTCTATCCTCAAGCAGCAAGTTATTTTTCCTTCTTTTGTATGTGACTTTGTTGATGCAACATGTTTATGATGCAATACCCATCCAGAGAATTGTTGGAGATCCCTTTGGGAGTTGCAGAGATGTGGACCTGGAAGCAGAGTGCAAATCAGATTTGAAAGCCACGAAGAATTCTGTTTTATGGACCTGTAATGGAAGGTTATTCCCAACAGCTTAAGCAAGAAACATCAGAAAGAGGAAAGAAAATGGAAGCAGATGTGGAAGAGGAAGACACTAGTATAGTCTGATAGGAAAAGTGGGAGTGATGAAGGAGAAAAGGCTGATTTGTTGCTGTAGAAGCTGAGAAGGTGGCAAAAGGAGAATACTTCGAGGGAAAAGAAAAAAGGATTTTTTTCTAATGGTGCTGTGGAGCATATCCTCTCGTGCAGAAAGTTCAGGGGTGTCTGGTTTTTTGAGGTGCCTGCTACCTTTTCAAGAACGGAGAAGGTTCAACAGCTACAGAACCCATCTGTGCTTGTATTCCTCTCTTCTAATGAGCTGTTTGTGATGAAGACACCTGGGTGGGTGAAGATACTGATAGCTCTGGCAAGGACAGATTAGAAATGATAAAGGGAAAAAGTAAACCCTTGACATATCTTCTTCATGAATGCTCCTTAAAGATGTCTGAGTGCTTTTGCTTTACAATTGGATTAAATCGGAGTTTAAATTGGAGATAGGTTCCTGTTTAAGATCAAGGGAATGTGTCTGTTTTCATCTGGTCCACCTGATTAAATGTTTTCACACTCACCTCCAGACAAAAATTTCTGCATAGGTGTTTGTCCATGTGCTCTCACATGGATTATGCTCAGAACATTTCATCTCTCTCAAGATCATCCTGGAAGACATAGAGAAAGTGAATGTGGACAAGTCTGAAATACCTGAAAAATACGGTGGGGAAAATGACTGGATAAACCTGCTGCCTAAGGAAGAACTGCTGTGTCTTTTGGAGAACAATTGCTGTTGGACTTCTTGGTCTTGTGTTGCATTTCTGCTGAACTCTGGCAGCCTTCAGCCAGGCATATTCCTAGTGGAGTACAGAATTCCCTGTCTGCTGAGATTCTTTCATTAAAGAGAAAGCAGTGTGCATCTGGATTAACTGTTTAGTGGTGTGGTTGCAAAGATCTGTCCAAAAAGATCAGAAATAAAAGCTTTCTTTAGCTTGGTGTTTTCTTTTATTTTGGAATGGGCAAGACTTGATTGGTCATGTAATTATTAAACCTCTGTGCATTAATTTTGAAATGTTTTTATGGTATGAATTTGATATTATTAACTGATAACTAGATGAATTGTCTGGGTACAGGATTATATTTATTCATAAAGCAGTACAGAGAAGATGCTCTTAATAGTTCATGATTTAATTAGTTTGGGATAGTTTTAATTTGTTTTACTAATTTTGGAATATTCATGGTGAATTTTGTCAGTCTTTCTGTCTTTCTGTACATTCTTCTAACTAATCTTTTTCTGTGAATTAATTTTTTGTGCAGAATAAATGTTTCTATACTTAGACCATTGATTGTTTGATATAAGTTAAGTGCTGCACTTTGCATAATGCTGGGCTTGATTAGCACTTTTTAAGAATCTCGCACTAGGAATGAAATCTTTCTGTTGATATGGAAAATAGATATATTTCATATTTCTCTGTCAGAATACCTCACTCACATAGCCAGGACCTCTGGTTTGGATTGTGGAATTGTTCTGTCTCCATGCCTGTTAAATACCAAACCTCTCCAGCAGAGAGCAAATTTCTGAATAACTTGTGTTACCTGCACTGCATTTCCAGGGAGTTGTGCCAAACTCTAGCAAACAGATTTTACACAAACTATGGAAATGCTAATTTGCAGTGTGAAGGAATGAGTACTCAATTAGTTTTAACAGTTTTGTGGAGAGGGTCACCAACCTCCTGCAACAATATGATCTTGCTGCTTTTACATAGTATGCTATCAAGTTATTAATTTGTGCACGAGACTAGAGAGGTCACCTATTCTGGAATAAAGGTAAGAATAATAAGATATTTTGGGCCTAATTGTGTTTTCAGGAGTAATAACAGGAATACAGTCTGTTTTGTTTGCATGTACCTAATTGTCATTTCTGCTGTGATGAGCAAGAGGTCTATAGGCGGCATCTAGCATGTGAAGAAATGCCATGATTACTGTAGATCTAAAGCACAGATTTGTAATTTGAGCCTCAGGCACCACTGCAACAGCCACTGGTGTTGATGCAGAGCTGATCATCTCTTCTCCTCACACTCCATCAAGTGCAGCCCCTTCTCCCCACTTTGGAGCAAGACCCTTACCTCTGTTAGCCAATCTTCTGCTTAAAGTGAATCTCTGAATGTTGTGCACTGCCTTAATGAGTTATCACTGAGCAGCTGCACCTGATCCTATATAAATATAGTCAACAGGAGATCCTTAGGGAAGGGCATCAGAAACAGACAAATACAAACTGATGGTCCACTATCCCAGATTCTGGAAGCCAGCACTTCAAGGATTTTCTGACCTGAAGGTTGTACCCAGACAATTGTGGTTTAGAGGACTTTCCAAGACCACCCCCCCCCCTTCCAGTGAATTAGAAAAAAATCAGTGGAAAGGAGTCTATAAAGAGCTCTAAACCACTATTTTGAGTCCATTTTAATACTAGTGTAGAATACTCCTCAGCATTTTACACTAGTTGAGTTTTGCACTTCATGAGATCATCTGTTTGCTTACCTTAAGTCTCTTGCCTGATACCTTCTGATTTTTGTGTTAGGAAAACCAGTGAATAATCACTCTATATTCACCCCATTCATAATATATGTATTTTGTAGGAATACATTGAATTTACTCTTGAGAGTTTGTTTTTGAAGCTTAAAAGGAACTTCTTGCGTCTCTAGAGTTGGGTGAAAGCCATTCTGTTCTTCTGTCCTTCATGTGTTTGACTATTTTCCCCATATTTTGTGGCTTTGATAAATAATTTTTGAGACCAAAATTAGCAAAGAAAGTGTAAACACTTGGAAATGATGTGTAGTGCATTATATTTGTTGTATTTTTTGATTCACAAAAAGTTCCAGCTTCTTAGTTCAAGAACTCTGTTTGTGTCAAGCACCATAAAGTACCTGAAATGGGGAAATCCTAGGGAATATTCCATGCTATCCAGGGTGCATCTTGAGAGCACTCTGAGAGGCTTCTCTTTTATTCCAGATATATGCTGTGGCAGCATTTCATTCATGAATGGTGACAGTTCATGGTGAACTTGTCTTTTTTTTTTTTTTTTTTTTTTTTTTCCTTGAAAAACCCATGAAATTTCTGTGAAGGGTGCTGTAGAACCAAGTACAGATTTTATTTAATGGTAGTATTGCACAGAGCATGTTGTGATTACTTAGTCACTGAAAGTAATAATTATTTAATATCCGGCCCTAGAACTTCAAATCTGACCTTGGGACCAAAATGGATTTCTTGCTGCTATTTTTTTCCCCTTAATTAGTATTAATTTTAGAAGAATTAGTGATGAAGGAAATAATAGCCTGGAGTTTGAGGTGCTATAAATTTCTCAAGTAACAGAGTATGTTTTTTCCTGTACAGAATTGAGCCGCTCACGGCACAAATGCCTTCATGCTTAATGCAATTAGGTACATTTCCCAGAATGTTAATTTTACAAAACCCTTTTCCTTTGACCTGAAAAAAAGAAGATAAATAAAACATGATGCTGCTTGCTCCGTGCAGTCTCTTCCTCCTTCTGCTTTAAGCGCGCTCCAGTTTATTCAGACAAATTGCTAAGGAAGATTTGGATTCTTTCTGTCTCGTGAAAGCGGGAAGGAAATCCTTCGGATTCTGTTCTGAAACTGGGAATGGGAAGCGTGTGCAGCCCGTGCTATCAGTGCTGCTGTGTTAAGCAACTGGATTGGAGTAGTACATTTGTTTAACCTTCCAGCATAATGAGCTGCCAGGGGGATTGCTCCACTTAATAGCAGCCGTTCATTACTCTGCATCCATTTGCAGCGTGGTGTTTCTCTCCCATAGCAAAGAGAATTGGCGCTTCCCAGTTTTAGCTTCCTTTATCAGTGACACTTAATGTCAACAGCCCCGAGGCTTTGCCAAAACAATCCTAACAAATCCTAATCCCACTGTTTCAAGGTAAGTATTTGCTTCTCAGAATTCTTCTGTATTGGTGCTGCATGTTTACGCTGGACCTTTTTGGAATGCGACAGTGATCAAAGAAATATTTGAACTGAACCATGTGTTTATTTTTTATTCTCTGCAGGCACTTTGCATGTTCTTTTTTTCTTACTTTTCACTATCATAGCTAAGAAAATTGTGGTAGAAGGCGTTTTGGGGTGGTGATGCTGCTGCCATTATATTATAAGGATCATCAGACCAAAATTAATTATGAGACAATGAGAATTCCATTTATAGTGACACAGATGTAGTTCAATGTGCCAGGCTGTACATTAAAATGTCAAAAAGTTCAAAATTTACCAACATCTGAAGCCACCCTCTGCCCAAGAGCATAATTAGTGCTTGTTGTTGTTCAAATGTTGCAATGTAAAAGCAATAGAGCTTTTATAAAACAGATAAATCCTTTAAAGGCATCCCATTTGCAAAATCTAGCTGAACTGTCAAGGGAAAAGAGAAATTTTTGCTAATGGCAAAAGAAATGATTATTTTAGGGAGTGAATTAATAGTCTATTAATGAGCCTTGTTCCCAGTGCATTGTTCACTTCACACTTGACAGCAGCTCCATGGATCAGGATGGAATGTGTCTGTTCTTAACTGTGAGTTTTAATATTTTGCACTGAAAGATCATAATGTTGCTTCATCATTAAAATAACCACAAAATTAACTTTTGCCCCAAGGGAAAGACAGATGGCAGTTTGATGGCCTCATTATTCTTTTTAACAAGAGTAAGGTTTGCCATTGGCTTATATAATCTAAAAAGATCTCTGAAGAAACTGATGCTTGATAGAAGAGTAAAAAGGACATAGCCACACCATGCAACTAAATTTCACCTTCCTGAAAATCTTACATGTGTGTCTCCATTTATTTTCCCTTCAGTAGGAGTCATCCCAGTGACTACTCCCAGTAAGTAAACTTGTGTCACTGGAGCCAGGAGAAATCCTAAATTGCCTTAGGAGGGGGAACATTTCACTTGAGCTGCACAGAGGGTCAGGTCTCACCACATGAGATGATGGCACGTGCTTGTAAACGAGTTAAGGAAGGTGTGGGTAGTGATTGGAGGAGCTGAATGGCCAGGAGGTCTCCAGTTAACTTGGGAGCAAATTTGGGTGGTGTGCCTGCCATGTGTGTGCCTCAGCATGGCCATTTCCAATGGAGCACAGCTGTAGGGTACTTCTATGGACTCAGGGATTTGTGGATGCTCCATGCTTTGGAGAACCTGACTAAATAAATGTTTAGCTACCTCACAGGGGCTTAATTAATGCTCACAGTAGACTCTGAAGCAAGGGGAAAAGGCAAGGGCAGATTACAGTTTATCTTCAGCTCGAGCATGAATTCTGCTTGTTTATTTTAGTCTTTTGAGAGTGGTATGGGAACAATTCACATGTTAATTCTGTCATCTGAAAATTGCTTGTGATAAAATGAGTGATGGAATGAAAAGGTAAATGTGTACTTTGTAGGTCCCATTTGTCACTGCAGTTGCAGGAACCTGTTACAAGCAAATTGGGGTGGCAAAGAAACATTTTTGATCTTTACGGACTTTAGTACGTGTGGCCTTGAAAAGTGGATTTCTTGCTGACCTGTGGAGATAACTTCGGTTTGAAACCTCAGCGTTTTTAGGAATGCTCTGTCTGATAGTCTAAATGGCAAGTTTGGGCCTCCTCTGGTGCATTTCCTTACTGGCTGTGGTCCAGTTTTCTGCTCAAATGTGAGGTGGGAAGAACATGAGTGGCCAGTTCCAGCCGCTTCCAAAAAGTTGTTCCAGCTCAGACAGCTTAGGTTCAGGGATGTCCATTGGACTCAAGAGGGGGAGAATGACCAATTCCCTGGCTGCAGGAACCCAGTGCTCCTTGGGGTGCCTTCTACATGGAGGAACTGCTTAGAGCAGGCTCACTGCAGCTCTGTGTGCTGCAATGGCACAAACCTCCCCTGGCCTTGCACAAGAGCTGACCTCTTTCTGACTCAAATGCAGGTGTATTTTGTCTCATCAGATTAAGTGGTCACTCTTCAGGCAAAGCTCCCATCATAGCATCTATTGCAAATTGGCAAAGAGGAAATTAAATTGCATCCATAGTTAGGTGGGAATTAGTGTCTGTGGGCAGTGTTGTCCCGGCCCAGAGTTGCTGTGCATTGCAAGCAGAAGAATTCAAGGCTGGCAGGAGGAAGGATTTACACAGGCACATCTGGCAGCTCAGGCTAGGCTGCAGTCTTTGCCACTGTGGGGTTAAGATGGACAAAAGTATCAAAATCCCAAATGGAGTTTATGTTGAGAAAACTACTAATTAAATTTAGGAAATGGATTCTATCTCAGATTCACTTCTGAGTCACAGGCCTCTAGTGGAGAAATAAGTACAACAGTAAATTTAAACTCTAATTCAGATACAATAGACACATTTCTATTGTCTTGATTTGTATTAAAATGAGTGCTACCTACTGTATTGCAGTCAAATGAAAAGGATATAGTCAGTCTAATGTAAAGGACAAAACACGAATGAACTATGATGAAATCAAGGCAAAATTGTGTATTCAAGTGACACAGATCTGTACTCTTCCAAAATTCCTTCTCTTTGCTTCACATGAATGCTGGAAGAGTCTTGTTTTCAATAGAGTCCCCCATTCCAGGGTTTGAGGCAGCCTAAGGAGGTCACCTAGATGAGTGGGTTTGCTTTGGTTTGTGTAACAGCGACTCTGTGGGTTTGGTAGTGGCAAATCATGAGACAGTCAAAAATGTGTGTTGATACTTTGGTAAATATTCCCTTTCTTTGGAAACTGGGCATGTTTCCTCATTAGTACATGTAGGATATTCTGCATTTAATCTGTGTTATTTAAAGGGGAGGAAGTGCTTTAGGTTTTAATGAGACCAACTCACTAACTATCATAAAGTTTTTAGTATCATTAACAGGAGAAATAACTTCATGTACTTAAGTCAGAGTTAGATTTTATTTCTTCTGAATCTTCTTTCTGAATGATTTTATGTTCTTTTAATAAAATGACAAAATTTCTGATTTGAATCTTATTTCTTCTGGGAAAATTTAATGGAAAATAATAGGGTTTATGTCAAGGATTAATTTGGTACAGTGTTCTACATAGATTTCCCAATCATTGTAGGAGTTAAAAATCAGAATCCCTTGAATTCATCTAAGGAAGACTTTTTTTTGTAAGCACCAGAAGAGTAACCCAGTTGTCTCCTTTTCCAGTTTTTGGTTTTAATGGTGGAGAATCTAAAGCTTTTGGAAACAGCATAGGATTACAATAGATTCTTACAGCCCTTGTGACACAACTGTTTGACTATGTCAAGCTGAAACTGAGCATCTCATCTATTATAGAAAGAACAGTAGCATTTTGCTGCTGAAAAGCTGATTAATATATTGCATTTTTTCCTTCTTTTTCTTTTCCCAGCGTTCAGCATCCCTGAGCTTTGTGGGCTTTCCAAGCAGTGCAGAAATGGAATTATCTCCCACGAAGTTACTCAGCTCAGCCGACCCAGAGGCGAAAGGTGCCGCTGCTGTGACACCTGGCCTGTCCCCCAACGCCCTCTGTGAGTGTGACCCTGCAGCAGAGCCCCTGCCCAGCTACAGCCTGGCCCTGGGCAGGGCTCCCAGTGACCCCAGCCCTGGGGCTCCTGCTGTCCCTGCACCCAGTGATGCACTCCAGGGAGGCACCAAATGCAAGGTAGGGATGGCTCACACTCCTCTGCTCAGAGGGAGTCCGCTTCCCTTTACAGCACGTTATTGTTGGTCAACCAGTCAAAATGCTGTTTCAATTACAGTTTTCCTTATCTGGTATTTGAAGACTGATTACAAATTATATTCTTAACATGAAAAGAGGGAAAACTCATAATTGAGTTTTGCGTTTCTTTCTCCCCCTCCTCCTGCAGCTAGAAAATGACGACTTCAGTGCTGTGGATTGTCTTCTAGAAAACAGCTTGGCTACTGCTGGGCAAGAGGTAGTTAATGAATTAACTCTTTCTATGCAAAAAGTGATGGAAGAACCTATTAATCTTTCAATCAAAAAGTCCCAGCATTGCACTTCTCCTTCTGAACTGCTCAGCAACACTTCTTTCCTGCCCATGAATGCCAGAATGAGACAACCTAGAAGCAAAGAAGGTACCAGGCTTTTAATTATTTCCTTTAGGTTTGGGTTTTTTTTTTTTTTCTTAGCACTGTGCATTGCTAGCATGGCAAAGCAGTATGCTTATTAATATACTTACATGTAAATGTGCTTTTCCAGCAAGCTTCAAATGTTATCAGAGTACTTAATCCAATGGAAAAGTGTGTTTGATCTCATTTGTGGAGGAAAAACATGGAAATGATATGCTTTGAATTTGTAACATCCCTCATCTGTGAACCAGAAACTAGTGTGACTGTATGAATTACCTGGAGTATTAGTTCTTTTAGAAGCACTCTAAATGAGCTTTGCTTGGTCTTATCTTATGCAAGCTGTTACAGCTCTAGAGCTCAGTCCCCAAGGGGACTGGGTGCTAGAAGCCAGCTCGCTCTCAGACCAAGGCCGTGGGTTAGCCTTTAGCAAGCAGGGAGATATTCAGCTCTTAGTGATTAGGCAGCTCTTGTGATTTCAGCTTTGCTTGCTAGGTAGCTTTTCCCTTGGCTTAAGGCTCTAGCAGACGGTAGAGAGAGGAGAAGTAGAAGACACTGGCTGTTCTACGAGTATGGCTTTATTGTAGGGGTCTGTGAAGGGTCTCAGCTCTTCTTCCGAGTTAGTAGGGGTACAGTATGCTACTTTTATACTCTTGGCTTGGATCTAATCTTGACTAATGGCAAAGGTGTTAGAGTGACCATAAGTGACCAATAGTAGGGTTTAACACAATATTGCCTTCCATGGCTATAGGGATAAGGTACAAGGCGGATGTCCCTGGAGACAGGAAACTTCTTTGCTGCTGTGTCAGCATTCTATTCTCCAAGGGGTCCTGGCTAAACCTGAGGGATTTACTACAGCACTCCTGTTAATGAGACCTGCAGTTATGACTATTGAAGAGGTGGTTTGAAGAGTCCAAATTCAATTAAAAAAACCCACTTTACTTCCAAAATGTAATGTGCCTTCTGCTAAGTCCTCCACATCAGTAGCATGCCAAATTTTTGTTAACACATTCCTCAGCATGTGCCTTTGCTTGGCTCTGTCTACTGTGGAACATTCCCTTCAGCCAAGGCCTATTTCTTCAGCCCTAATGGAGAATTAGGCTTTACTTAACTCTTTTTCATGGGCAAATTGCCAACATCGTGCTACACTCTGAAGGCTCATTCCTGCAAACTCTGAAAGTCAATGGGACTATTCATGCAAGCAAGGGATTGCAGGGTCAAGCTGTTATCCCATGACTTATGCCAATATTTGGCTGCATTTCTCCATAGAAGATGAATTAATATTTCTCTCTCTGTGCTGTATTTTTATTCAGAGAATTCTAATTAGTACAAAGGAGGCCTAGCCCAGTGAGCCAAGGAAAAGTATTTGTCTTCTCTTCAATGTCCCATGCCAAACCGTGGCAATTATGGCACAATCATTTGTGTGAGCTGTAAGAATCAGGGGCACCCCTAAAAAGCTGTGCCACAGGCAGGCTGAAGTGTCTTGGGGAGGAGCGGCAATGTGGTATCTGGGGTGGCTTGTGTGACACCACACACAGGGACAGCCCCAGCATTCAGAACCTCAATGTCAGTAGAGGATGCTGCAGATTTTCTGGGTATAAAATGCAGGCTCTGTTGTGCAAGAGGCTGGAAAGCCTCAAGTGCTGGATTCAGTGCTGCTCCCTTTTCACAAGGAAGGGTCAGGAGCGAGCAGTTCTTATCCTGTCAGTGTTTAGGGGCATGCAGTGAGGAGATAGAGTCACCAGTGCACCATAAAACACGAATTCTGCTGCAGAGGCAATGCTAACTCTGCTGGTGGCTCTGGGTAGGACTTGCTGGCTTCAGCAGTGCTGTGCTGCCAAGCCTCATTCCTTCTGGTAAATGTCTCCAGTGACTCATCCTTTTCTAATAGCAAACCTAAACATTTCAGCCTAATTTAAAACAAAATTATTCTTATCCTAGGCATACAGGATGTGGTAAAAATTGTGCTGAGATAATTTTCCCTCTTACAGCCACTTTTTTTTCTTATGACTTGCATAAACACCCCTCCCTCCTCTTCTCTTTCCTAGACTAAACAAATCTGATGGTTTCAGCTTCTCCTCATGGATCAAGGGTTTGATTTTTTTCAAAACCACCTCATTCCTCTGTGTTATTTTGGGTTCTCTGCAATTAAGGAGTGCTGCCCACAGCCAAATGCAGCGCTCAGCAGAGGCCTCTGGGATGCCATGCAGAATCAGGGTATCAGCTCCTTGTGTTTTACATTCCTTGCTGCTGGAGATAGCCTGCAGGATGGCATTCCTCCCTTCTGCAGCAGCAGCATTAGGGGGCTGACTGTGTAGAGAACAGCTCACTTTAACCCTTAATTCCTTGCAAGAACATTTTCCTAGGCAGTTTTCCTTTGGGATTAGATTCATCTGACCCTTTGTGAGCACAGTGACCTCAATTCAGTCCTACTGATTTAGGAGATTTTTTCCTCTGATGCCCTAAGGTCTATTTTTAACTGAAAACATTGTCCATGGTGCAACCCCTCTAGTTTGGTGTTTTCCACAAATTTTACAGGCAGTATTTTTTGATGGGCTCAGTTGCTGATGGAAATGTTGGTTAATGTAGGAAGCCAGCACCACTGGAACATCCTCTGCTTTGGCAGTGTGCAACGAGAGCTGCTCCTTCAGCTTGGTGTGCAGTCTCCTTTAGGAATTCTGTCCATGACAGGGCTGCCCACCCTTCACCAGAGCAACAATCACAAGTGAATAATGCCTTAGGTGTGATGTGAAATGCACCTTTCCTTGTTAGTCTTCATTTTATTGTTCCTTGTGGCAGGTACTGTTGACCTGAGCTAGATTTTCTTTTAAAAATCGTCTTTTTTGGCCCTCTCCTATCTCGACATAGCCATGATATTGTGTTTGTTTCTTGTTTGTATTGACTGTGTCAAACTAATTCCTAACAAAAGGTGAGATTACAAAATTTTTCAGTTGATTTGTATTTCTGAGGACATCCACTGAGGCATTTGTCTCTATCCTATCCCATCTCCCCAGAACTGTGCTATTACTTGTGTTTAATGTCAGTAAAAACTACAGCCAAATGCTGATACAGCTACAAAAAGCTACAGCTAAATAAATAGCAGATAGTTTTGAGTTCACGTGTTTATGTGTTCCAGACACTGGAAAGGAATTATAGTGTAACTTTTGTCCTGTGGTGGCAGATGGGAGACACAATTTACTTCCTGTTTTCAAGTAACTGGAATTATCCAGAAGCTTCTTTGCATGGAGCTGGAGACAACAAAGATTTCCTGAGCCCTGGGGGTTCAGACCTCATGGGGTCTGTTTTTCTCAAGTGAAGGCTGTATGGCAAAGAGGATTACTTATGTTGTTTCCATGTATATGGATGTGTGTGATATGGCTGTGTACATAAGTAATTCCCTGGGAAATAAATAATTTCTACAAAATATTTCATATATGCTCCTTATATTTGGAGCAGAAGCTGTAGTTAAAAGTAAAAAAGAAAGACAAAGGCTCTGCACTAGAACAGAAAATAGCATGCACATTTTCTATACATATAGATGAAATTATTCCATATTTCACTTATGATATCATATTAAACACCAGTCAGAAGTACATGAATATTGAAGTACTTTCTACCCTAATCTGCCTGTGATATTATAAATATTTTATTCATTTTCTTATCTTCTGTTCCAGATTCCAATAACTGTGAAAAGGAACATTTTGAAATGGATATGAAAAGCAATCAGAATGTCAGGTAGCAGAGTCTTTTTTTTATACAAAAGCACTGGCTGTGAAATTTTATGCTTGTATTTAGAAAATTTGTCATACTTAATGATGATGGAGAACTTAAAAAGATTTCTAGATTCCTTGTAGGTATTAGTTCTGAAAGTTGTAAAGTGCTCTCCAACTTGAAAACAGCAATGAAAAAGATGTGGTGAATTCATGTATTTCTGTGTAATTTTCCAGAATGAATAAACACTTGCAAACCTATCTCACTTGAACAATTAGAAAATGTTAAGCCCCAATGAAGGCTAAAAGATATAATGGAAACAGGATTAACTTTACCCCAACAATTTTATAAAATTTGATTTTCAACCATTGCTGTGATAATGTGGTAAAGTTGATGATGTGCTGTGCTCCTGTTGAAACCTGCCACACTGAAAAGTATAAAATATGACTTTAGTTGCGGTAATTAAGAATACAGAGAGCAGGGCAAAGCTTTAGCACAGGAGTTAGTAATGTATTTACACATATGATTAATTTAAAGTGATTGCATTCACATTTCTTAACGAATTGGTTTGTGAAAAAGTATCAAGATTTTCAGTGTCTGGCCACTGGAGTCAGAGTTACAAAGGAAGAGGAGCACAAACACTGGTGCATGGAACTGAGGAGAGAGGAGAATTCTGTGGGATGTTGATGAATTTAATCCCGTGTCCTCTTCACCCCAGAGGTGCCCCCAAGGAGCAGAGGATCCCCTACGTGCGGCTGGAGCGCCTGCAGATCTCTGCCGCGGAGGTGGGGGAGCTGCCCGTGTTCAAGCTCCAGCCACAGCACAACGGGCAGGAGAGCAGCTTCCTCCTGGTCATTGAGTGTGGCACACGCTCCTCAAGCATGTCCATAAAGGTGAGGGGATTGTCTTCAGGATTTACCTGCCTTCTGCCCTTTATCCCACTGGTTTGCAGGCACAGTTTCTGGAATATTGTACAGTAAAAAAATCTGCTGATTGTTGGACTCTCGGGTACTTCTGTGATGGGTTGTGGTAATGACAGTACAGCTTTGAGCTTGCTCCTGCAAAGCTCAAGTGGAGCTCCCTGCATCTTCCATTTCTGAAACAATTTTGTTTTCATGTTCTAAGGAGCAACAGGGCTCACCTGTCTAGTTACAAATACAGGATAAGTAGCTTAAAACTGGCCTGAATATGTATTTGAGTGGTAGGAAGCAATCCCAGAAATTACAGTGTAATAGATTTTAAAAAACTATGTAGTCTATTTCTTCAGTGGAGTCTTGGCTGTGAAGACTTTCCACAGAAGGAAACAGGAATTTCTGGTGGGGAAAAAGACCTACACTTTTTTTATGTTTGGGGTTTCTTGGGGAGCTTGAGTGTTTACCATAAAATTTGCAAGTGATATTGTAGAATATCCTATTTCTATCACCTGCAGTGTAGAATCTGCACAGCTGTCTCACAGTACTGTGTGGAGGAAATGACCTGACCAAGGTGACCTGGCCAGCCAGTGGCAAGTGCCAAGAGTGTGGACCTCCTGAACTCCAGTAGAGTTCCCTGCAGAGAAGCACTTGGAAGCACTTGTTGGAAAATTGTTGGTAGTTGTGCCTTCCAAGTACCAGAAGTATTTGGTTATTTGCAGATAACCAATGATGCTTTATGCTGGTGTGTGAAAATGATGATTGTGTGATCCCAGATTTTTCTTCCTTCAAGATAAATAAAGATAATCCAGCTGAAGGACAGAAGTCCAAAGAGGAGAACTCAGAGGATGGGAGATTTCTCATCTCCCAGGCAGCAGGACAGACACAATCCCCATCTGTTGATCAGAAGCTCAGCAATGGCATCTCCAGCATGAAAAAATCCCCAGTTACTCAGGAAGTCAGTCCAATTGAAAATGAGGATTTCTGTGCTGTGTGTCTTAACGGAGGAGAGCTGTTGTGCTGTGATCACTGCCCCAAGGTCTTCCATCTCTCCTGCCATGTTCCAGCCCTGCTCAGCTTTCCAGTGTGAGTACGGATGACATTTCACTACTGTGCTGTTCCTGCTCACTGCCTGGGGGCAGAAGATGTCCTCAGGGATTGATGTTTCAGGCTTATGCAAGGGCTGCATCTCTCACTTGCCTTTTTTGTTACTTTTTTGTCTTACATGCAAGGAACCAGATGAATTATGAAAAAGAACTGTGTCCTGTCACTGTGTCCTTTCTGCAGTCAACTGGCCTGTACAGCAAAGGAGGAGGCAGACCAGATTAAAAATTATTCATGTGACTCACTGGAGAAAATAAAATCCTAACTCTCACATAGCACCTGGAGTGTAGACATCAGCTCTTCTTGGCAGAACAGAGACTAGCACAAGGGAAGGGCAATCAGTGAAGTTTTATTCAGTTTGTTAGCAAATGTTATGGGAAATATAGGATTATCAGGGCTTTTGTGGAAATATTTTAGTCATTTCTTTGCCTAAGAAGCAATCTTTTGCAACTTGTCACAGATGGATTGTATGCAATGAACCAGAAATAGACACATGTCTACATACCAACCTTAAAAGTGAGACTGAATAATGTGCATTACTGTGGTATGCAATTCTAAATTTGTTACAAATCATTACTAAGTGGAACTGAAGTCTACTTAATTTGAGCCAAGCTCAAATCATTGTCTCAACTGTGAAAAATATGTTGTAAGGTATTAATTTGGAGATTCTGGTTTCTCCTTTCTGTTTAAAAATCAGGACTTTTCTTCTCTTGGGTTTCATTCTTTTCTCTAGTGGTGGAGTCATTACCTTCTAGTTTCAAAGCACTGTGAAAACCAAGTTTTCCTGTTAGAATAAACTTTAAAGGCAAAGTAAAACTCTAATGAAGTAAATTAATTCCCTTAACAAAAGTTATATGTTAATAATTCTTGAATATATCTTCATCTGTAGCTATTCAGACCCTAATGTTGTAGAAATTGCATCACTGCCTTCACTAAATTCCTCAAGAGGTTTCTGAAAATGCATCTACTAGCATGAGCACACATGCCCTTGCAGGATTATGTCTGTTTGTTTTGGGGACCTGTGTTATCATCACACCTTTTCTGATATGTTGATTTCTTAGATAAATATGTCAATTATTGTATCAATTGTTAATTAATATCTCAGTTATCAAAAGGGTCTGGGTTTCTCTTACGAACAGTTGCTGCCTGTTTTTCCTTAGTGTTTTTTTTTCAAAGCAGAACTTGAATCAGTGCAGCTGCATACACTGCTGGTAGATTATTTCAAACACAATTTTGTTTTCTTTTCCTTTGTGACAGGAAAAGAGCTGTGAATAGAATCTGAAATGATTATACTTCTAAGTGGATTCAGATGCAATGCAAAGTATCAAATACAATGGGCTTCAGATTGCCTGCTATCATAATGCTAGTTAAGGATGAGGCTTTCAGTGGTTTCTGAGGTTTGCTGTTTGACAAGGTTATGGAGAAAATTCCCCACCAATTTTTTTGTTTCCTGTTTTGCAGGGGGGAATGGGTGTGCTCGCTTTGCCGTAACCCTGCCAAGCCAGAGGTGGAGTATGACTGTGAGAACACTCGCTACAGCCACAGCCACAATGCACAGTATGGCCTGGCTGACTGTGACCAGAAGGTGGGAATCATTATGTTGTGCTCTATTTGGAGCAGGACATATGACCTCAGCATGAGGCTTTGCATTTTCATGAGATGGTTTTCACTTGGCTGCTACTCAAATGTTATACACAGCAGTAAATACAACAAAAGCATTGTTATTATTTGGTTATGTATTATTTTGTATATTAGTTGGTCTTCTTTCTAGACATTGCTCTTCAATTTAAAAATGTTATAGAAAGATGAAGCAGGCAGATGTGGAAATTCTTTTCTACATTGAACAGGAAGTCACACTCAAGAGCATGAGTCAGTTTTGCCTGGTTTGTGACCCTGAATCTTTTTGCTTTAAAACTTGGCACCTTCTCAGGCTTCTACTTGGGTCAGTGCAATGACATTTTTGTGATGAAGACACTTTTTGGACACTTTTGAGTTGGATTGAAATCATCAAACTGTCTTCTTCTTATGTCCCATTAGTTCCCTTGAAGATATTTAAACTTTTAACTCAGTCTAGAGGAAAGCTTATCACTTGATACACCTATTACTAGTTTTCTCTACCAAATCTTCCATTAAATAATGGCCTTTTCCTAAAGTCCATAGTGTTTGGAAAGCACAAATTCAATATAGATGTCATGTGTATGTTGACGATAACTGGACAGAGAGGAAGCGTCCCCACAATTGAGTGCAGATGATGAGCTGGCCCTGTTTCTACTGTATTTGTACAACTGGGCAAGTTATTGGGATTTGGTTCTCAAATAGTGAAGTCCTATTTGGAAAATTGAATTGATTAACTTGTAAAACACTTATACTAGTGTTTGGCTTAAGTAAGTGTTTTACAGTTAATAATGATTAAAGGGAATAGTTTTCATGCAGTACTACCAACTTATATCCATTCATGGAAACCAATGTGAGCAGTGGGAAACATTGCCCATTTAACTTTCCACATTGTTAGTGCTATTCTCCCAGTTGAGAGCCAGGGAATAGATCTGGAGCACACAAAGTAAATAATGATAGTCATTAATTCCCAATCATTTCCAGGAGAATGTTGCCTTTCTTGCATTTCTTGACTATCCTTATTTTCCAAGGTCTAACAATGCTATGAGGCAAAACGTTCCCCTGACTAGAGTGAAGTGTGCCATTTTGCATCAAAAATTCATTTGAGAATTATCATTTTTAAGTATGATTGGTTAACTAAGGGCAAGAATGAAACTCCCTTGTTTTGAACTAAAATTTATTACAATTTTGGCTTCCACAGAAGTGTGAAAAGCTGGTGCTCTCCCTGTTCTGCAGCAGTATGAGCCTCCCATTCCATGAACCTGTCAGCCCCCTGGTAAGTTCTGCATGTGCAGGGATCAGAGAGAAACCAGAGAGCCTCACAAGCTTCTCCTTTGTCTTCTTGAAAGATATTCATGAGGGCTTTTTTCTGAAAAGTATTGCTTCCTAGGGAAGGGTGGGTGTTTCCTCTTCCAAGTGCCTTGAAGGCATCAGGCCAGAGGCAGGGAAACATTTGGCCAGTGCTCAGGCCATGTCTGAGTGCCAATTTAAGAAGCTGGTAGAATGGCAAAGGTGTATAAGGGGTTCCTGTGATTAAAAGAGTTGACTTGTTATGTACATGGAGAATATTGTACAGCCATAAGAGAAGTTTTCTCTAGAAGCAACCCTGAACTCCCTCTTTCCTTGCGCTGTGCACGCAGAAGGTAAATGTGACTGTGCAGGGAAGATGTAGAGATATCTGCTTCATCCGTCTACTCCACATTTGCAATGTGAACTGTCGTCTTTAAGGAAGGTGGTGACTTACACTATTGTAACAGTAGAGTACTATGTGCTAAAAGTTGAAGAGGGGAAAAATGAAGGTTTTATATGAAGGAGTAGTTCAAATAATGATTAAAACCCATTCCACCTAATAAATCTTGCAATGGACTTATGGAGCAAATTACCTAACAAGTAGGTTTAGACCCTGAAAGATTTAAGTAGTGGGATATCCTGGTACCTGATGCCCATTGACATAAGCTTTTGTTGAACTTTTTAAAGAGTGCACAGTGTCCTATTTTGAGTCACTCTTGACAGACTACTTCCCACATTATCAGCAGAAAGTATCACAGCACATTCTTTTTGTAACTGCTTGTGAAAAATGTCAGCTAGTTGTCAATTTACATATATTATTGTTCATTGTTAAATTTGGGTTATGGTTGTCTGGGGATAATCTTTACAAAGTGCAAGCAGCAGAGTAGTCACTCAAGTGTGCTGTTTTTAGGATCAATCTTGAAAACAAGTATGTTTTAATCAAATCCAAAAGCACCCAGGAAGACAATGTGCAAGTGTAGACACTAAAAGATTAGAGCTCTCCATCCTTATGCAAGGATTCCTCTGCAATGACTTCTGTCCAAAATTGCATAGAAGTCACTGGAGAGGAAATGTTTTAATGAAAAATGTCACATACCTGCCTTTTATTCTTATTGCAGGCTCGGCATTATTATCAGATCATCAAAAGGCCAATGGATTTGTCCACCATACGAAGGAAGCTGCAAAAAAAGGACAAGTCTCACTACTCTGCACCTGAGGAACTTGTGACTGACGTGCGTCTCATGTTTTGGAACTGTGCAAAGTTCAATTATGTATGTTTCTAAAATGCTTGGGTGGGGGGAGACAAAGCAGGGGCTGGCTCTTTCAGTGGCTGTCCCACTGGTGCAATTACTGCTTCCATGGAAGTCAGATGTAGGATTGGGATAAACAGAAGTATTGATTAATTTTATTCTTTGGAAATTATATCAGGGCTTTTTAAATGACAGGAATGAAGTTTGTTTGAAATTATATACGTATCTGAGAGCTTGAGATATAAAAAGAGGGATCTAAAGAGGGGCATCTTCACAGACAGCTCTATGGAATGTTGCTGTGTTTGCTGTAAGAAGCCAATCACAGCCAGCAAAATACATAGGGAAAATAAAATGCAAAGAAATTCCTAAGCAGTGATCACTGCTGTTCTTTCTAGTTCACTGTGCATCTCTACTTCTTAGAGGTGCACAAACGTGCTCCTTAACAGCAGCATCAGGTTTTTACTTACACTGGAAATGCAGAGAGACTAATGGGCTGTAGGAAGTGTGCAGAGACTAATGGAGATGTAGCAGACAAAGCCAAGGAGAGGTGTTGGGATGGGGTAGTTATTTGGATTTGATCCTGGATGATTTCTGTGTGTGGTAGCACTGAATGGTTATTCATTCCCTCACAGCCGGATTCCGAGGTTGCTGAGGCTGGACGATGCCTGGATGAGTTCTTTGAGGACAAACTAAGAGAGATCTATCCAGACAGGCATTTCCCTTCAATGCAGCAGGATGACTCTGATTCTGAAGACTTGGAGAGCCAGAGCAGCCCCGTGGCATCCCAGGATTTCCAGTGGCCGTCGTACGGGCAGGAGTGTGTGCAGCCCAAAAGGAAACGGCGCCACGCTGTAAGATTGCAAAAGCAAAAGCACTTGGTTGCCAAGTGGCCTCCCTGCTAGCTCTGTTTACTGCTACTGATGGGAAGTTTTGGCAGGGCTGTCTGGGAAAACTGTCAAGCTTCTATCACGGATGTGTGATCAGTTCTACATGTTATGTCACGGTCCCTTGAGTGGAATAAAGTGTCAGATGTGTATAAATGTGCGAGCAGGAGCAAATGAAGCCTCTCAGGCTGCACAGTTATCTTCCTAGCCGAAAGCTCTGTCAAGGTTTGTAAAAAGATTAAGCCCTTTAGCTATTCATTGTTTGTTTCCTTTGTACACAGGACAGCGAAAAAACTAAAAGAATGATGTTTCAGCCAACTAACAGCCTTCCTCAGATATGACCTCCTCAAGATATGAGATTTGAGGAATCCAGCAGCATGACTGGCAGAGTTAAGGTGTGTGGGAGGAAAGCAAAGCGCTCGGGCTGTTTATTGAAACTCTCCTATTCTGCTGACCATATGCCTTATTTCTAGATCTTGTAGATAGACAACAGATCAAAATGTTTGTTTAAATCTGTCAATATCCCATCTGTTAAATCACATGTATGTTTCGCAGTGTTTACATTGAAGTACTAATGTCTTGGTCATAGGTAATGATAAACAATAATAAAAATAACATCCTGATAATACCTCATACTGCAGTACTGTTTCATAATCTGTTCAATGTGGCATTGCTATTTTATAGAGCACAGGTAACCATGTAATAATCTTGCAGCCTCAGTGTGAATGTTGGCCATGCTTTGTGACAAATACAATGTGCAGCCATTAAAGCTGTAATCCTGTTGTCTTATTCAATGATTTTTCTGGGAACTTGGCTGCTCCAAAACCTGTGAGATAATGTGATTATCTGATTAGCTGTTTCTTTTGAAGCACAGAGTTTTCATTAAATCAGGAAAGAACAAGTGATGGTAATGCTAATGCAGGGGCTGTTTGAGGGCTGGTTCTCAGTGCATACTGGATGGTCTGTTTGCAAGGCATCATTCTTCTGGAATCTAATTCATGCTTGGTAAAGCAGTGTGGGATTTTGTAGCTCTCAAAGGCAGCATTTTTATACAACCCAAGGCAGTTGTTTTTCTATAAAGTAGATATTGGAATTCCGCAAATTAACTATGGAGTGAATTACATGGTTCTAGAAGTGCCTATAAGATAACGTCATTTATTTCTGATTTTCTTTTTGCTTATTACCTGTAGCTGTGATTATCTGCAGTGCTAGAAGATGATGATAATATAGAAGCTCAAACAGAAAGGCTAAGATTTCTTTTTTTTTTTCCTAAATTTCACAATGTATAGGCAGAACACAACCAAGAACAGATTTAGAGTTCACTTGAACAAAGGTTGTGTGTCACTGTAGAGTCTGAAGGGTGGGGTGGGTAACAGGACATAACACCTGAGCAAAGAGTGAAAGTTTGCAAGCTGCTTCCCACCCCTTCCAGCAGCAGGTGAGCCACATCTCTGCATGGCCAGTGCTTTCCTCATGTGTGTGAGGGGCATCTTCCTCCTTAGAGCTCTGCCCAGCAGAACAATCCAGACTGGGGCCTAGCTCTGACACAGGAGGTTGTTGCAGACCTCAAACACAATTAAAGTTCATTTTAATTAGGTTCCTGTAAATAAAGATGATATTTTCAGCATATTTTATATGGGCTATTTTGTCTGGTAACCATGTATGTTATTTTAGATAACACTTTAAAGGTTTATATATGCAATAGTAATAAGACATGAATGTTATATTCTACTGTGTGTGACTTACTGTTTGCCCTGTACCTGGTAGAGTTCTAATCTTTCCTTTTCTTTGGAGAAATGAAAATCTGGATATTAGAAACTGACTGGCAAACTGTGAGATGAAGGGACAGCCTTCACATTTTCCAAATGTGAATTCATATATGTTTGCTCTCTGTCAAATTCCTCAAAACAGTGAGAGTCTTGGCACAGGACAATGAGTGCAGGTTTGTCACTGAATTATTCGCCCTTATCTGTGCTGCAGGTATCACTTTTTCTCAGTTCCTCCACCAAAGAACTGTCTTTTTCCATTACTAATGCAAAAATAGTATGCTTTTTAGACTTCATCTAGGGGCAGTGGTAGAAATGTGAGAGATTAGTGATGGCTTCCTCTTTTCCTGGAAGAGCAGAGTCAATGACAGCCTCCTTCTGTTTCTTAAAGGCTGTCAGGTTATTAACTGTACCATTAGTTTTGGAGAACACCTATTTAAATAAAGTTTATTTAGGGTCTATTATGCTTTTATTAAAAATAGAAATTTCCAAGCTTGTTTTTATAACTAAAACACCTTTCTGGGTGTGTTCTGGCAGGACTGAATGACCTGAGCACTCTTAAGGCTAACTTAGATTCTGATTAATACTCTAAGACTAGTAACAATTGAAAAAAAACCAACTTCATAAACCTCATGTAATGTTGGTAATCAGAACAAAACCTCAAGTCATAAGTATGACTTCATATATTTTCGAACACGAATCCATAGGTCAGCAAATTCCCAGTACAGTGCAGGTTATGGGAACAATATAATTTTTTACATGTAATGGGTTACATGTATAAAGGAAAAATCCTTTCTGTATTTAAACAGTTGGAAAAGAGATTAATTGCAATTTCATAATAGGTCAGTCAAAGAAGAAATGACAGCTACAGGTTTAGCTTTGATTATCCCCTAGACAATTTCCAAGACCTGTGTGTTCCAGCATGGTGACAGGAGAACGGCATCACAGTTCATACAAACAGGCGTTTAACCATACACATTAACCAATGACTGCATGTTTGTATGTGTAATGTGCATTGCTGAACAATAAAACATGTGAAATGTCTTTTTGCACATCAATCTGAAATTTTTGCTCTCAGTACATCTGCTTTCAATTCACGTATGGATTGTATAATATAATTTAACAATCATCAGCTAAATTGCTCATAACTTCTGATAGCAGAACAAAGCAGTTATGAAAGCAGCTATGCTAACACAGGAGACAGCTTGCTGTTTGTGCTAATATTTTCAATAGCAAGTAGATATTTTGCCTTTTGGTTTTTCAGTTGCTCTAAGTCATTGAGAAACAAACATGACAAGAACAAGTAGCAAAAAATGTTTGTTGTTTAAATGTCTGTACACATAAAGTGCCAAGAAACATGCTACTTATTAGTGAGAGGAAAAACATATTGTAATGTATTAGTCTGGGGGAATCAGAAGAGATATTCCAAAACTGGAAATGCCAAAAATTGGAATAATTTACCAAAAAGAACAAAAATTCTCTATTGGCAAGAAGTCAAGCAGACACTGCAAGTGTTTTTATATTATTATTGGTTCCTCTCTGTTTGGTTTTTGGGAAAATAAAACTACCAGCACCAACTTTCTGATCTGGGGACCTATTGGCTTGAAGGGTAAGTAATCCTTCTCTCAGGGTTACAGCTGTGCTGATCTTAAGACATAATTAAGAGATAATTTATAGTTAGAGGTTACTTTTTATTGTATAAGTAGGAAAGCATAGAAAATCTTCTGGGCTTGCAATTTCTTCAAGTGTTAAATACAGGCAGTAAGGTCTGTTATAGACAAAAAGCTAAATATCAGCTGAGTTTCTCTGATTTTATTTAGCTATCAAATGAGATAATCTGGGGGAAATAAAGATAGGTAGTAGTCATAGGCTGAGGAGTATGCCCATCTTTTGAGGCTGTATTTGTAGACCAGGAGCAAGAAAAAAGAGAAGTGTTTTTTTGAGAAATGCTGCCCCACTGTCTGTTCCTGTCTGTTAGTAAATGTTTTTAAAAGTATGTTTTATGTGTGTTCTCATGAGAGCATTTAGTAAACTGGTAGCATTTAGATTAAGGGGACTTTTGTAGAAGCTTCTATTAGGATAAGTAAAACTAGGAAGATAGTATTTGGATGCGTTTTTCTGGTAAAAGTGTTTGCTATGGTGAATATTACTGTGGAGATGAAAAATTGCAATGCTCAAATTTGCTGTCACATATCCAGGTCCAGTTGTTCCCTTTTCATTCCAAGTGTTCTAAAAGAGCTTCTTGAAAGATAATTTTTGGATGACTTGTTCCTGTTTAGGGTGGAATTTGTAACAGAATCCCTGTAAATTTCAAAGCAGAACTAATGTTTGGGTTGTACCTTTAAAATTGTGAGATTTGCACATTGCAGAACCAGCTCATTGCCAAGTCTTGTGCTGACTACCTGCACCAGAATGATAATTTCTCCTGGCTGAAGGAACAAACACAGCACCCTAACAGGGCTTCAGATGTTGAACTCTGCTTACAGAAACTCACAGAATTTAATCTGGTTTTATGCTGGGCCTAGCAAATGCCAGTGTTTAGAGATCATTAAAAAGCATCAAAATTTGATGTGATCTCTTTGGTTAATGACACTAAAAGAGACTCTAGTGACAGGTTATTTTATACAGTTATTCCTGGATTGTATGGTAACTTATAAATGAGTGTTCATTCTGTAAATAATCACATTTTTGTTATTTACTACACTTTTAATTTTTTTTGCAACAGCATTAAACCAGGCCTAGATTTAAGTCAAGGAAATAGTTTATGCACGTGTCTATACCACAGTGTGTAGCCTGTGGTGCAGTGCAACACTTCTGAATTTACAGCCTACTGGGCCAAGCTAAGCAGTCCTTTCTTGTGACAGAACAGCAAATGGAAAACACCCTTAGTTTCTAATACTGAAAGTATGAATAGAATAGGATGATCACTATAGAACAAGTGTTCTGTATATCACAGAAATTAAAGCAGAACTTTATAGGATATTTTATTCTGTGTTATAAATTAAGGAACAATATAGAGCTTAGATAAAGTGAAAATCAATTCAGAATTAATCTTTAAATCCTACCCAAACTCTGTCCTGCATCTTACACATAATTTTGAATACCTCAGGCATCTGCAGTGCAGTCTATTATTAACATATACAGGTGGGCTTTGGCTTATGAAAAATAACATTAAAGAATTCAGTGCTTTAAGCAAACACTGGACACCCCTCTGTTTCTTTTTCCCCGTGGCCTCTGAGGGCTTTAGAAACACTGGTTAACTGGCTTTCATCCATGTTTGTGATGTACTTATAAATATTTCCCACTTACAACGGTAGAAAACAGCATGAGAAGCTAACGGAATGAGCGAGCAGCAGAGATGGAAATTGAATACAGCCCTCAGCCCTGGCTGCAGGATTATCAGGGAGCAGTGTTAAATGAAGGCATCGTGACACATCTCAGGTTTGGGATACTGAAACCTTTCATTATGGAAGAGGGGATTTGGCTCTGACAGCGTGCTGCAAATGATGCTTGAGCTTAGCACCTGCAGTCCTGGAGCAGTGTCAGGAGCCACACAGAGCTTGTTTTACCTGCAGGGCAGTTCTGTTCAGGGAGGGGCAATGGGGCAATGCCCCGTCCAGTGCTGCGGACTCACCTGTGCCTCACAGCATAAAGAGCAGCTTCAGTGCCCTAGGCAATGCAGGAACTGCAGCCATAACCTCTGGCTGAGCCAGCTTATCTCAGGCATGATACAAACAGTGGGATTTTCACCACATAAAGGCTCCCCAGAAGTAACATCCCAAACCATTCAAGAAAGCAGAAAGTCTTAATCTTTATTTTTGGTCTTTTAAATACCACAAAAATCTCTTAATTGGAGTGAGCCTGCTGAACAAGGAGTTCCCAACAATGACCTTTTGAGATGACAGTCTCACTTCCTAGCTCTTGCATCATGTTCAGAGCTCTTTCCAGTGTGCTGTGCTGTGTTGCATCATGCCAGCCCCAGCCCGGTGCCATGGGGTCGGGAATCCCTGGGGGCAGGGAGAGACAGCCTGCTCTGGACACGTGCTAGAGAGGTGGGAACACCCTGGAGACATTCTGCCCCTCAGCTGGGAAAAGTGCTACTGCAGCACACCCTTCATCTGCTGTCTAGATGACTCATACAGTGAAAGGATATTAAATGGAATGGGAATATGCAATTTCTTCCTTTCACCGATCCTAATTAGGGTATACTGTAAATACATGAGTATATTTATAGCCACAGAACTCAGCCTTTTACTCTTTCTGTGAGAAACCTGCAGAATTAGCTTCATTCTGTGTTTATTGGGTTTTACTGCTTCCAAATAATGCACAATTTACAAATAAATTTACGCTGGTTGCCTCACCTCTTCCCAGATGTACTATAATGCCCTTCTCATTTTTGAGCCAAGTTCTCCATTATTAATTCAGCAGTTTGTAATTAAATGATTAACTAATCAAATTTTTTCCTCCTGAGTACCTGTGCAAATGCATTGAAGGCTGATTGATTTAACTGGGGTCACTCAGAGATAAATTGAGCCTTAACATTATTAAGTGTGAGAAACAATGAGGAAGAGGCTCTCTAAGGAGGGAATAGGAGGACTCAACTTTTAGCCTTGTTGATGTTTTCTTATAGTTCCAGTGGAGAGAAAAAAACCGGTTCTCGAGCTAGAGATCAAAAAATTACATGGAAATTTGTGATATTACTTTACCTGCCAAAGCTGAGATTCAGATTTTAATGGGTGTGACAGCATTAGGTGTTTTTTCCCTTTTTTTTTTTCCTACTGTCTCATCATATGGGAAGAAAATGAGAATTCTTTTAATGGAATTGAAGGTGAGTAAACACCAATGGTGATGCTGGGGAGGGGTGGCACTGCAGTTTTTTGTTGGTTTTGTCAGCAAAGTCAAGTTCTGTGTATAACTTTCCTCACTGATTTATGCAAAGGTGTTTCTGCAGCTCTTATGAAAGATGAAATTTTTACACAGATGTAAAGGGGTGGAGATGTTTTTTATTTTTCTCTCGGTTGTATTTTTCAATTGAATGGGTATTTCCTCAGGTTCCTGGGAAGGATTTAGGTGCTGCTCACTGCCAGAGGTGGTGGTCCAGCCTGAAAGGGTCGGTAAACTTTAATGACGCAGCAAAGCTCAGCTTTTCCCGATATTTCCTGTACCACGACACAGCCTCTGGGGTAAAGCAGGTGGAGGTTCGGTGCTGGGCTGGCTGCAGGGCATCGGCAGTGCTGGTACCTTCAAAGCATGGCAGCTGGCTCCCTCTGCTGCTTTCAGCACGCTCTGAGTCGTTTTAAGCAAGGAGAATTCGCCTCCCCCAGGTCCTGCGGGGTCCTGTATCATTGCACCTTCTGGTTTTAATGTGTTCTCCTTCCACGGGAGGTAGCTACGGGGCTGTGTGCTCCGCCTTAGCTTAAAATCTGTGCAGACCTTTACAAAGATTAATGTATGTATTTATAAGCGAGAATCAAGCTGTAATGTGGCAGCTGAGTGTAAGCATTTTAGGTAAGACCTCCATAAAACCATAATTACACCCATCTGTTTCCCTTAAGTACCCGGTAGAAAACAGTTAGCACTTACATATCTCTTGATAGCTCTCTCTCAATCTGGTGTTATGGGGAAAGAGGAAAGTTAATTTCCCCCTTTATTTTCTTTCTAGAAAAAGATGGTGCTTAAATTCAAATTTGTGAGAAAAGCAAGCTGAAAGTGTTTGTCAAAAGAGGTTGATTTGTAGATGGAGAGTGTCAAAGCAATAGTTTTTCTCAAGTATCTCTAACCCTTATGCACCAATTATGGAAAAGAACGAAAAGGCACAATTCTAATAAAACTGTGGCCATATGAATAGATATTAACAATAAAAACTCCCACATAATATTTCTTAAAAATATGAGCAGTTTCATCAAAACTTTTGGATATGCAAAGTGCTGGGCAACTAGGTGTAAACTGAATTCTCATTGAGAAGGTGCACAAACTAGCCCTGCCCTTATGGCTGGGCTGTTCTGTAATTATTTGACCAAATTATCTTCACCTGGTATAAATTTGTGAACACCTCAGTGGAAGAGGGGTATCAGGGCTGATAAACTGACTCTGAAACTGATACGTTTTATAAAGCAAAAAAGAAAATAATTGATTTGCAACATTATTGGGAAGGGGAAAAAATGGACTACAAGAAGCTGTCTGCTTGTGGGGTTTTAACACTTACTGATAACCATTTTGGGGGATATTAGAGTTAAGACATTTGTTACTGCACACTTTAAAATATGGTCACTCACAAGGATTTGCCGATCTGGCTACAACCGCGTTCCCTAAAGGTAAGCTCCTTGTTCCTTTTGTGAAATGTCCCCTTGCACCATAGCACTTGGAAGTCACTGAGGACTCTCAATGACTTTTGAGCTCATTTGAAGGAATACAGGAACCTTCCACAGCCATCCTGGGGCACTCCAGCTGGAGCGGGATGAGCTGGGGACCGGGCGGTGCTGTGGGTCCGCAGGGCACGGTGTGACCCTGCAGCTCCCCAGGGAGGGTTCTGCCAACCTGGCAATCCCCGGGCCAGGCTTTCCTCATCCCGAGCGTGTCCCGGGCCAGGCTCCCCTCACCCCGAGCGTGTCCCGGGTCAGACTCCTCATCCCGAGAGTGTCCCGAGCAGGGTCCCCTCATCTCGAGCGTGTCCCGGGCCAGGGTCCCCTCATCCCGAGCGTGTCTCCTCATCCCGAGCGTGTCCCGGGCCAGGCTCCCCTCATCCCGAGTGTGTCCCCATGCCGGCTGCCCCTCCTCCCTCGCCGGCCGGTCCCGCGGCACCAGCAGATGGAGCTCCAGGATGCCGATTGCTGAAGGGATGAAGGGATGACCGTGGAATCGCTGTGGAACGGGCAGGGGACACCTCGGTGCTCTCCTGTGGTGCTGCCCTTCGCCCTTTGCTGCGCCGATGAACTTGAACTGAGAAATGAATACGAGCGCTTCTCAGGATCTGAGAAATCAGGTTGGCTAAAAGAAAACAAAACCCCGAACTTTGTTAAGCATTTAATAGAATGATAGAATTATTTGGTTTGGGAGGGACCTTAAAGATCTCCGAGTTTCCATCCCCCTACCAGGTGCAGGGACACCTTTCACCAGACCAGGCTGCTCACGCCCCATCCAGCCTGGCCTTGAAGGATGGGGCATCCACAGCTTCTCAGGCAACCTGTGCCAGGGCATCACCACTCTCAGAGGTAAGAATTTCTTCTTGATATTCAATGTAAACCTACTCTCAGTTTAAAATAATTCCCTCTTGTCCTGCCACTACACATTCACTTGATCAGTTCTTCTGTTGTAGCTCCCTTCATGTATGAGTAGGCCGCAGTTAGAGCAACTCTGGAGCTCCCTCTTCCCCAGGCTAAGCAAACCCAACTCTCTCAGCCTTTCCTCATAGGAGAGGTGCTCCATCCCTCAGGTAAATTTGGTGGCCTCCTCTGGACTGGCTGCCACAGCTCCATGTCCTTGCTGTGCTGGGGAGCCAGGGCTGGGTGCAGCAGTGCAGGGGGGTCTCACCAGAGCAGAGGGGCAGAATCCCCTCCCTCACCAGCTGCCCACAGTGCTCTGGATGCTGCCCAGAGCAGGGTTGGGTTTCTGAGCTGACAGCTCACTCTGCTGGGTCATGTCTGTTTCATCCACTGTTTATTGCTTGGTGTCTCTGCCCAAGCCATGCTTCCCAAATTTCACCTGCTGCCAGTGACACTGCAGCTCTTAATACCAAAATATCACTGTCAGGGCTGTTGAAGATACTGGTACTCATTAAGCCTATTCTGCATATTGTGTCTATTGAAGTAAAAGCTTCTGTGCATCCATATTTAGGTTTTTACTAGAATCACACTACTGAATGATAAAATACATAATTTTCCATCTCAGGGAACAAGTTTCTTCAGGTGTTGCTGGGGCAGGGTGGCTGGTGGCACTTTATCTTCTGTGTATTTCATGCCAGACCTTTCCAAAACAGAAATAACTCTCTTTAGGCCCAAAAGAGAGAAGCAGGTGTACTCACACATCACAGGATAAATATTTAGATAAATATCAAGGACATCTAAAACCCTATCTAAAGCTTTCCCATGGACTTTCTGTTAGTACACACTTATGCTGGATTCTGTTCAAAGCACAGCTAAGTAGCACAGAGCAGTCAGAGCTTTCTAAATTTCCCTTTCAGATAAAGAAGTTTAGATGTCACATGTCAAACGTAATCTGACCTCAGGGGTTTCAACCTAGTCTTTAACAGGCATTTCTCACCCTTGAGAAAATGCCTGGCTTTTGAAACAATGCCTCCTTTCAAGAACTTTGGCTTAATATTGTGGCATGAAGGTCAAGATTGTCTTGTACTGACTGACAGAAGCACAGCAGCTTTCACAGTGGTTCCTTTCTTCATGTGTGGCTTTTACTTGTGCTTAACATTTTGAACTAGAAAATGAAGAGAATGGGCAAGTATCATTTTCTGTGTGAGGTTTTGATGTGTTTTGTCTTTTAGCCTCACTATTGTTGTCGTGTTGTCATAATACTGAATTCTTATTCTCCCAGCTGATGCCCTTTATTTGACAGGACTGTTTACTTTTGTTGGTCTTAAGTTTCTGGCAAGGTACACAGACAATTTTGACTTGAACCTTTCAGTGGAAGGACACAGGGACAATGCAATGTGTCTCCTCTGTGCAGGCTACCAATGGAACAAACAAAGAACAGACCTGTACGAGCCAGGTCAGCTCAACCCAGACAAAATGAAGGTGAATTACAGCACAGGCAGGCTGGGAGCAACCACCAGGAGGGCTGGAAAAGGTTATATCAGAATGGTTATATTCTCAGGCCTGAATAGAACTTGTGAAAGGAGCCTGCAGATTGTACATGTGCAACTGAGCCCCAGAGGCTGTTAGCCAGCAGACAGCTGGGGCAAATTCCCCTGGGAACAGCCCTGCTTGGGTGAGATTACACATCCTTGTCACCACCCCTCTGCATGAAGTCCTTCCACTCCTGCCCTGGGTGACTGTCAGAGCTGGCTCTAGTCCTGCTTTCCTGGGCTGGGACAGCATGCCAGGAATAATGCACTTGTTTGGCAGCTGTGGATTGGAACATGAATCTGCAATGTGGGGCTCTTAGAGGAGCCCGTGTTGCTCTCGATTCACAAGCCACAGTGGTCAAACAAGCAATTTTTTTTGATGTAGCTGGCATGTTATGTGTGACCTCTTCTACTGGAAGTGGCCTTTTCTCAGAGGTACCTGAGTCACTCACTGTCACCTCAGGCTACATTTGCTGTGATGTATTTTTTTTCTCAGACTGAAACTGAAGTAATTTAGAAAGGATGGCTGGAAGGACAAGAGAGAGATGCCTTAAATAGTAGGGCTCTCCCCAAACTCTCAGGAACAGCAAAAGCTGAGGAATTGAAATATACTTATAACATTCCTTTTTTCTTTTTTTTTCCTAAGTTGCCTTTTTGCCTGAAAGGCATTGCTTTTTATTAAATAAACCTTTGCAAAAGCTCTCTTAGCATTGGTACTTGTGGTCACAAGCCAGGGACAGAATTGGAGATGCTGTGCCCAAGTCACGGTAAAATCGTAAATGGGGACTCCTCCCTAAAGCTCAATCCAAGCAAGGAAAAAGTCAATATCCCTAAAGAAACAAGAGCAGAAGTGGTCAAATTTTAGTGGGAGTGCCATGAAATAGTATGCAAATCAGGGAAAACCCCATTTTCTCCCTAAATCACCACAGGAGCCATTTTCACCTGTTTTCATGTTATTCTGGGGATGACAAACACATCCCCATGTCTTTATGTCTAGGAATTTCATAACCCTTCTTCAGGAAAAAATAGTGTCAACTACCCTGGGACACAAGGAATGCACAATAACCTACCTGGAGAAATGGAAACATCTGTTGTGGGAGTCCCTGAAAGCTCAGCTCTTAAATGGGTGAATATCTGACATCTAACAGGAAATTTTGGCAAGGTGGCCTATCTGTTTGAATTACAGTGGTTTCAAAGCTCTGTGTAATATGGTGATATGAAGAGTTTGGGAGAATGTCTTTAAGCCTGGCTTTTTAAACTTCTCCTCTTTAGGACTATTTTTTTCTGAGGCAAATCTGGGGAGCCAGTGGTGGCTTTGGTAAGAGATGCTAAGTTCTTAAAAACACAGTGGGAGAGGCCACTGGGGTGAGCCAATTCCAGTCAGCAAGTGTTGGAACTCAGTGCCCTGAGGTAACTGGGAGATATTGCAGCACCTTTAGATTCCTATTTCATAATGTATAATGAGCAGAATAAAAGCACTTTTTAAAAATAGAACTTTTAAATTTTTTCTTTCCTGTGTTTTTTTTTTTTTTTAACTGGAAAATCAAATCTATTTCAATCAAGTACTTCAGGCACTGGCACCTATGAAAGAAAAATGACATTATTTTTGGAATGGAAAGAATATTGGAAGATTTAGAAGAGAAAATGGATAGCCACTCCATGGATGCAGCTTCTAATGTGCTGATCCCCAGAGGTGCTGCCTCTTGGGCTGGGAGCTGCCTGCAGGCACAAGCACTGATGTAATGTTTGCTGCCTCTCCAGTGCTGATTAACTTGGGGGGAATAAATGCAATTAGTTGAAGTACTTTATATGTCATGCTCCTAATGAATGTTGTAATTTAAGAATAGTACTTAAATTTATTAGAAGCACCTCTTTAAGAGTATTGTTTTGTTGGGTTTTTTCCTAAAATAAATTTATCTAGGTCTTAATAATTCCAATGCCAAGAATGATGCAGTATCTCTTACTGTTCCATTTGTCCTGCACAATTTTGTGAATAAAAAGGATGAACAAATACATGACACTAGGCATGGATTCACCTATGTGCAGGGACAGCCTTGTGCCTCCAGTCCTTGTGAACCATGGGTGGCTTTTCTGGATGGTTCTGAGCTTATTTACATGTCAAATGTGATTTATTGGTCATGGTGTTTGTTTTAAATGAGTTAAAAAGTAGAGAGCTAATTTATCTTACAATTATTAAATTGTAAGTATCTAGATTTTTCTGGCTTACCAGCTGAAGATTTTGGTATTCTCTCATATTTAACAGTCTGTCTGTTTTCATTATGAATTGAATTTGCAATAAAGTACAGGGTTTAATTTTGATAAAATTATTATTGGGGAATGCGCATTGCTAACTTTCTCTGTTTGCCCATAATAATCCAGTTTATCCAGATATTTCAGAAGAGGTCATCTAAGAGTTACTTGACTGAAGCACAGCATGTTGGCAGTGTGAAATGACACCTTAAATCAAGTAAGTCCTTTTACTTTACTGCTACTTTCCCCCCTCTTTCCCAATAATGTAGCTATGTCCTGATTATATGGCACTACAAACATTCAGATTCCTTGATCAAATCTTCTCCATAATTGTGCAGACCTTGATCCTACAAGGCCCTTGCATTCTTCACACAGAAGCTTTGTTTTGTTTTGTATTATTCATTTAAAGATGGTTTGCAGTCAGTTTATTTTGATATTCTGAAACCAGAAAACAGTGTCCATGTCAGGGCTAAGGCACAAGGGTTAGCTGCTGAGTCTGGCTCTCTTGCATAGCTGTTCTGGGGTTAGGATATATACTTAGTATTCCAGATCTCTGATATTTTTCATAATCCTTGAGGAAAAAAAAGAGTCAATTAATGAAAAGCAAAAATTTTTGAATTATATACAATTACATCATGCAAAAGACATGCAGTGAGAAGGTAGGATTGCATCTGAGTGTTTCCCAGCATTGAAAATGTGGCAGATGCATTGTTCCTCAAAAGTAATATGCTCTTCCTGAAATGCATTATTTACTAGAAACTTGGGAGTTTGGGGATTTGGGTTGGTGTGGTGGTGATTTTAATTCACCATCTGCCTCCCTAGACCCTAATAGCCTTTCATTTATTTCATATTCACTAGGGCATAGAAAATGCTCAGGGTGTTTAAAATATTATGTGGTTTAAAAAGAACCAGATAAAAGAAATTATAACTACTAACTATAGGGGGAATTACAGTGAAAAGTTTTTGAGTACTTTCCAGGAGGATGCACAAGCTCAGACTTGCCTAATTTATTGCTACCTCTGTCCTTTCACAGTCACTTTTTCTGAGCCATTTGGGAAGCTTCCTTATCTGCACATTGCTCTGTAAGGGGTAGGTGTGCCATCTGCATATTATTGTAAATTAGAGGATCCATCCATCTACTACCTTAGATGAGCATGGCTTTCCTGCAGGACTTTGTTAAATTGTGTAAATTTAATTTTCATATCCCTTCTGGAATATTGAACAAAACTAATTTTATGACTGTAGGGTTTGAAAGCAGAAGGGGCAGTAAGTTAATATAATTAATCATTGTGTCATTGCTGCAGAATAATGGACTAATTCTCTTCCTAATTTCCAGTTACTTATCATTTGAAATCTCCCAGGGAAAACAGCACTGTGTAGAAAGAACAAGAAACAACCAATTAAAGTAAGTGTTTTGTTTCATCATCTTAAGCAACTGTAACAGAATAGAGGAAACTCTGGTTGTGATTTATTAGTTGCATTTTTTGAGGTTTTTATATACAGTTAGATATTTGCATGAACTGCTTCATATGGAAAAAGTAATGAATTTCCCCATATTGCCATATTTTTGTGCATCAGATTTGCATTTTTAAAAAACAGTCAAGTACACAGAATAATTAGCTTGGGGTAAAATGAACAAAACAAACCATCTGAAACTCTTTAAAAATTTTAGATATTTTTTTATGCCAACTCTGAAAAATTAAACTCCCCTGTAATTATAAAAAATCCACAGTGATGTGCCAGCAGGTCCTAATTTGGGCCTCTTAAACTAAATACTTATGTTTTGCTTACAGGACTGTTTCAAATATTTATTTTACAGCTGATCACTTTAAATGTACCTACTCCCTGTCACTCATTTTGGTGTGGGACTGTGGGATCTGCTAAATCTTTGCAGGTTCAGGTTAAACTGGCACAACCAAGATGACCAATATCTCTGATATCCCTCCTGGGTTTGGAATTTGGATGATTTTAGAGAGAATACCGAGAAGGTGAATAAGAACAAATAGGAATGAAGCACTGGGAAGTACTGGATCAGAGATAGAGCTAAAGGAGGAGCTGGAGAGAAAAAGCATCCCAGGAATGCGAGTGTGGAGCCCATAAAGATGCAGCTGAGTGCCAGATGAGGTGATGGAAGGGCAGAGTGGGAATGGAGCAGGGAATAGGAAGTTTTGGCATGTGTGACATAAGGCTCTGTGGGATGGGTAGGACAGGATGTGAATAGAAAAGAAAGATGTTTTGGCAGCTTCTGTTGCTGTACAGAGTTCAGCATCATTTCTGGCAGCACGCTGGAAAGCATTTAAAGGCTGAGCTTTCAACTAAAAATTCTCATTAAGTAGAGGCCCAGTAACCCTGTCTAAAAGGTTAAAGCAAAAACACCAAACAAGGCAGCATTTCCTCCACTGATTTTTATGTAAGTACAGCTAATTGAACTGAACTTGGAGGAAATACTAACTTGAATTTTTTTTATTTTCTTTCCTTGAACAGGAACTCAGCATGAGCTGTTTGTTAGTTTGAAGTTTTAAAATTTGGAACAACTTTAGTCACTGCTGAACCCAAATGAGGACCAAACTGAATAAGTAACATATTTAACTGTCTAAGCAGATGTAAAAATTAAGCATCAGTTTGTAACAATTCTGTTTTCTGCATTTTTTTTTTGATCCCACTTTTCAATTATCCTGCCCAGATTTCTTCCAGGCTCCTGCTTTGAGTCAGGTGATGCTGTAGATTGTAGAGGACCTTCTGGTGGGATGAGTTGGACAGAATTCATGTTAGAGTTTAGACCATGTGAATAGCATTCTTCAAAGTCTTCTTTTTTTTTTTTTTTGACACTGCTCAATTGCTGCTTCCATCCCCACAACAAGCTTCAGGAGGGGTGCAGAGGAATGGCCTGCCTGCCTTTCACTAGGGAGGATATCTCTCCATGTGGTGCTGTGCTGCATAATTGTCAGATGAGCACTGCTGCGACAAAGCCACTTGGAAAAAACAGGTATTGTGCGGGTTTTCATCTGGAGCTGACATCAGGGGTTTTAAGAAAAAAAGCTGAGAGATTCATATAGAAATTGCCATGCAAGAGTTCATGCCAGTTGTGTGCTGCACAAGCAAGCTTTTGGAGTTTGATTTTTGCTTTCCTCTGTCTGGAGAACATGGTGTCAAGCACCCATTTTTTATTTTAAGCATAGTCTCAAAGACTTGATTGTTCTTTGATCCTAGTGCTGTGCTGAAGGTAGTTCAAAGTTATAAGGAGTTATGTATGCTGTGTCTTAATGAAATGCTTGTCTGAAATTGAACTGATAGCCTGCTGTGAAAAAATCAATTTGCCATCAGCAACTGAATGTACTTGATGCTCAATTTAGTTCACCCAACTATTTCACGTTTGTTCCCTGTAGTAAAACAAAAGGGTCCTGAGAATTAATTACAGTGTTAGCATCTGCTCATGGCAGCTTTGCTGATACACTTGGTGGAATAAGATACTTAAGGCAGGAGGGAGATGGAGTGTAAAGTTTTTCCCACTGCCATTTCTTATGCAAATATCTTTTAAAGGATAGGCTCCTCTGGTGTTTCCTGTACTTTTTCTTTTGGTATTAGAGCACTCAGTTGTTTTTAAAACTAGCAAATGCTAATTGCTTCCAGATAATTTGTGTTATGTCACTTTTTCATAGTTCATATTTCCATAACTGTTGCTGGCTGCTCAGTGGAGTATTGTTTATTTGAACGTTTGGAATAGCATTTCTTAGTTTAAAGTAAATCCCAAACATTTTGGGGTGTCAGTAGATGAATGAGAAGTTGCTGAAGTTGCAGGTTCCTGAGATTCCCAATGTTGGATCTTGTGTTAGTGTAATTCCAACCTGCTGTGCCAAGCACGCTGTGGAGCAGCCTTGAATGCTGGACAAGAATACTTTTGTCTTGTGCAAAGTCTTCTTTAACAATTGTACCTATTTTAACATTAAAAGTTGTCAGTGTGCTCACATGCCAACCTAAACTGAGGTTTTATTTTGTTGAACACAGAAACTGAGCTGCAACACAAGCAGCTATTAGTAACTTTAGGATTTAATATTAGTAACTTTAGGATTTTAGTATTTGATAATTTTGTATTTTAAGTCATATTCCAGTAAATAAACCTTGGTCGCTTGGTCTAGGAGATGGATCAGGTCCCATACTTTTTGTCTGGGCTTTTTTTATTTTATTTTTTTGGCTGAACCATCACAAGGTATAAATTATCTTTCTTGGAATGCCTGAGAAAACATCTCTGAACTTCAGGAGATTTTCATTATTTGTAAGTTGTCTGTAAGTTCTGTCAGGTCAGATTTGAAATGTGTTCAACCACATCACTGTATTTTGGAGAGGATCATAGATTTCTGTGGAAGGCTGCTTGAAATTTAATCTTGTCCTGTATGATTGTGATGCCTGTAGTGATGGTAGAGTTGTCCTGTTGGTATTGGAGAATGATTTTACTTAATGTAATTATAATAAACCCCCTAAATTTGGTGAAGTAAAACCAGGTTCATTTCAATTGTCTGTCTATTAGGTTGCCATGAACCAAATGCTTTTAACTTCTTAACTCATAAGAAGATTGTTGAAGCAGTGCCTGACACTGGTCAGGTGTTAATTACTGGTAATTAATATTAAAGCAAAAAGAAAAATATATAAATTAAATATGTAATAAATTAATACTCTTATAAAACTGCAGTAACATAGTGTGACATTTAATATGCACACCTGCATATCTTGTTTCTTATATCCTCTAGAATTTTAACTGAGGGTTCAAAGAGTTTTTCTCAGCAATGGAACAGCATTTCTGTATTTTGCAGATATGCTTTTTAGAACATCACATGGCATGAAATTTAAACTCTCTGCACGTAGAACAGTTTTTGAAAGAACATTTGCTACTCCTTCAGAGTGAACACATCCTCTAAATAATTATTTTTGTATCTACTTAGCAAGGCCATCCTAATCAGGAAAAATGTCATATATCTTTATAAAAATAAGGTGGTTATTTATTAAAAGTGCTGCTGAGAATGACTGTGATCTCTTTAGACAAGAGCAGATAGGTGAATTGAGAACTAATAGTTTCTATGATTCTTGAATATAGTTCTTATCAAGGAATATGCTTCATATGTTTGGCAATATTGAGGGGACAGAAAGGTCTTATCATTCTATAATTTTTACAGTACATGGTAATTGTTGCCTTGATCATACATTTTACATTTTTACATAAGATGTAATACTTCCAAAGCAATTTTTTTCTATGCTAGCTTTGGTCCACAAGGTGTATGGAATCTTCTGATCTCCATTCCTTGCATGTGAAATAATTGTCAAAGAGAAGTGGTTTTCTTTTGAATACTTCAGCAAAACAGAAATGGGAATTTGTATGTGCTTTCAATTTGCTAGGAAGGGAAACAATTAATTTTTTTCCTTTTTTTTTTTTTTTTTTGGTGTGGGAAAAGTATTCCTCATAGCCTAATATTTAATACATTTGGGAGGAAAACTGTAGGTTTTGTACACCACTTAATTTCTCTAGACATTGAAATGTCTTCACCTGGAGAAGCAGCCTATTTTGTGTCTAGCATTTTTCATTAGAGGTACTAATTAGCAACAGATAACAAATGATGCTGTTATGCATTAATACTCAGAAGTGCATGCAGGATGGATGGATCCACATTGGACCCATCGCTGAAATTGGGGACACCTGCTCTCCGAGCTCTGGGCAAGATGCCAACTGCAGAAATTATCTTGAAACAATATACTGAGTATTTAATATGGTTTTAAATAGATGTTTTGTGGATTTTTTTGAAGTAAGCACCCTTTGTGTGGCTGCTTGTACTGCTTGGAATTGGACTTGATTGTTCAGATTGTGCCAGGTAGAAGCTACAGTGGAAGGGTGAGGGGAGTATTATCTTTATCCTGTTTGGTGTCATTAAAATATAGAATATTTTGTTACACTCCTATTTAACATAGATCGGTTTTTAAGCCAGATAATTGCCCTGATTAATTCCTTACTACACTTGCCTCTATGGCAAAAGGATATTTCCTTCAGCTTTAAAGGGTCTTCATTAATTATCTTTCCTTGATTTGTGGTAGCTACATACATCACATTGCAACCCTCACCTTCATTTATGGTAGCAGAAGGGTTTCAAGTCCACCTTAAAATACTTCAGGGGTTGAACTCGTGTGTGTAGCTAAGAAAAATAAATCCAATAAGGTCCTTCTTTCAAATAACCCCCTCTCTGTAGACCATGGTGGGACATATGGGCCACATGCACACAGAGCAAAACTCCTCTCCCTCTCCCTCTCCCTCTCCCTCTCCTCTCCTCCTCATACATTTGCCAGATATTGATTTTTCCCCCTAAATTTTCCTAAAATAATAAATTATAAAATCAAGCAGAACTTATTATTTATGAGGTTACAGCACAGCTGCTAATTTTTTCATGCTCCTGTACGTACCAGGAAACCAACCACATGGACATTTTATTTGTGAGATGTTTTCATTTTGGTGTTTCCATGTTTGTTGGCTGCTTTGCACTGAAACAATGTTTCCCTCTGCTTCCTTACCCAAGGCAGAAAAGTCTTGATTTGATCTTGTCTAATTTCTCATGTTTTTAGCAAGTAGGCATAGAAAGGTAACAGGGTTGGATTTTTTAGATGATTTCTCTTTTCGTGTATTGTCTGCAAACCAGAAGTTTAGATTGAAGGTAGGGAATTATATCAAAATAAGTCTTTAATAAGCCATCACAACAGGTACATAAATGGTATTGGAGGCTGTTCCACTACCACAGCCCAATGTCTACTAAGATAAATATTTATGTAAGAGGGTGGTTTTTACCTCAATATCTTATTTCACTTACATTAGTTTTTTAACAATGGAAACCACTCCATATTCTTTGTACAGCAGTCTGTCCAAAAATTCTGCAATAGTTTGTGTGTAACTGAAAAACTTTTAGGGGCCTTCCAGCTGAAGAAGTTTGGAAGAAGTGCATTAAATTTGAGGAGGAATATAGACAATTGTATTGGATGGGAAAAGTAAAGTAACAGTAAGAATTAAGTTTTATTTCTCTTCAGTAAATAACTATTTTACAGCAGTGCACAGGATTCACATGCCTCTGTTTGTATTCTTAAATTTTGATAGATTTCTGCGCTTTATGACTGTTCAAACTGCATGTTGATTGCAGTGGAAATGAATGACGTTTGATTTAGTACCACTGAGTTTTCATTTTCATGGAATACCTTAAGTAAAATGCACCAATGTGGTATAGTCTGGAAGATCCTAGGAACAGTTTTCTGTACCCTTTTCCCCCTTTCCAATCCTTGAGAGCCAGTCTTTGAGATTATAGATATTATTTTGAGATTTTTGCATAAAGTAGATAGGTGAGCATGTGTTTGTGTGCCTCAACCATGTGTGTTCCTGGGAACTTTTATATTTAATGTAAAAGAGAAATTGGTACCTTCCCAGTTCATGATAACCAAGTATGGACTTAAGGAATGCATATATTTGATTGTGGCAGAAAAGCAAACACAAAAGAACAGCACTGAAAACATGACAGCAGGGTTAACATAACTTTTAGGGAGAAAGGCATGATTGGTTGCTTACCTTTTCCTTCTGCTAAATAGAATTACCTCATTTGTGACTTTGCATTAAATTCTGCCTTACTGTCATGTAGAAAAATAATTTTTAATTCGTGTTACCTTTAATGCATTTCAGAGACCCATTGAAATCTGTAATTACTTGCAATTTTATAATTAATTTTAAGTACATAATGACATAGTTGTTTACCTATGTAATCTGTGTACTGGTATGTGACTTCATGCAGCATAGAATGCTTTTTTTTTTTTGCAGACCTATGTTTAGCTGATGTTTGATTTAATTTTTTTAATGATAAACCTTAGATAGCTTTTAAAATTGAGATTTTTGTGTGTAAGTACTGAGTGACTGGACTGTTTTGATTGGTATCAGACAGGTTTAAGGTTGGCTTTACATTTAAAGCTAACTTT